ACCCAAAGTTTTGATAACTTATGATGTCATCGAGATAAAAAGTCAAAATCTAGCCTAATTGGTCTTGGAGGTTGGACAATCCTGTTACCAATATACGGGAACATGCAATCATTACTGAGCAATGAAATAATTGACCGCACCATTTTGTATAGGTACTAAAAATGAAAACTGCTATAAAATTAAGTTACTTTAAGTTAGCACAATCATAGACAACATTCCTGGCCAGTACCAACAATATTCAAGCAGAGATAAGATAGTTATGCCTATGACAGAATTGCATACAAATAACAGTCTATCAACGGTCTACCATCTCGAGCATATAACTTAGGCCTATTTAAACTCAAGGAAAACCCCAATGATATGTTGATCAGGAATCTTGATACCCCTCTGTCAGGCATGATTCTATAAATAAATCTAACTTAATGTAGGTTTACTAATTGAATCAATACTTTATTTTCAATCGATATCTTATTAGCCTAACTAAGCCCAGTTAAAAACTGAACCGAACCTGGCAGTTTTACAGGGTAGCCTACAGTTTCTTAACTGGGCTACACTAACATCGATTGAAACCATCAATTCTTAACCTTCTTTAGAGTTTTTCATTACTGTAAGTTATCAGGAAGTTTGGTTAGCCTAGTTAGGTTAGATTATGACAGTTTCATTTCATCAGTTAAGTTAGAAATATCGATTATTGATCAAAGTTTTCAATCGATATTGGCGTAGCCCAGTAAAAGCCGCGTTTACACCGGAGTTTGAAACACGAGTTGCAAACAGAAATTGCAAACACCTCTAAAAACGCCCATTTTTAGACGAAACTTTTTGCTGTTGCAAACAGTTTTTCAGTGTTGGCAACAGAAATTTTTGTTTCCACTTGAAGTCTAGTTTCGGTCAATATGAGCCGTTGAAACACGAAACAGAAACATTTCTCCGCCATCACCTAAGCTGCCACCTCCACTCACTCGCACCACCCTGTGTCTCGACTCAGTGTTACCTATGTTATTTAACCCTGTCTGGACTGCTACTAGCTACCTCGTGTTTGATGTGACTTATATCGTGTCGTGCATGTGGTGAGTGATGGAAAATCTACTGAGTGAGATGGAGTGGGGAGATGACAATATTATTAAGTTAATTAGCTTGTACAGAGAACAGGAAGTGCTTTGGAATCAAACTATTTCTGACTATAAAAACAAAAACAAGAAAAACTATGCGTGGAATGACATTTCACGGGAAATGAACTTAAGCAAAGCAGAGGTCCAAAATAAGATGAGGAACCTCATAATTCAATTTAACAGAGAATCTAAAATGGGCAATAAGTCTGGATCGGGGCCGACGATGTGAAAACCAAGTGGAAGTTTTTTTTTTAATCAATGATATTTCAATCAAAGAATAAGAATAAGAATAAGAAAGTTTATTGGCGTTGACCAGGTTGTATACAGGAATAGGCATTGTCAAATTACATTAACCCTTTGAGTGCCAACGTCCGGGGAACCGGACGTTTTTAAAACGAGCCAAAAGTGCCGACGTCCGGCCGACCGGACGTTTTTAGAACGAGCCAAAAGTGCCAACGTCCGGCTGACCGGACGTTTCGTAATGATCGAACAGTTGTCATAACAACCGAATGGATACTCGCATTCTTTTAACCCATATATTAACATTGAGTCGAAAGTTACTAGATGCGATACATCGATTTTTGTTGGTCGAAATATCGAAAATTCGATTTTTACGAAATCTTAACCTAAAAATCGCCAGATCGCGCTCGGCATTTTTAGCGCGACCTTCGGGAAAAATCATCGGCATTTTTTGAGCGTTACTTTTATTTCTCGCCTGGCACTCTAAGGGTTAAACAGAATATCAATATCAATATCAACAAGTATGTTATCTATAGCTAACAAAGATTGAGAATTCCTAACTTACAGTGTGAATGATTCCATTGTCAAGTCAAAATTATTTCAAACATTTTTTATGAAACATGGAAACAAAACCATGAAATAAAAATTGCAAACTTTTATTTGAAATTACTGTTTGCAACTGCTGTTTGCAATAAAAGTTTGGGGTACAGTTTCTTAACTGGGCTATGCTAATATTGATTGAAACTATCGAATTGAAAATATTGATCAATAATTGTTATTTTGAAATATATCTATTATAAAATAAAACTATCATAACCTAACCTAACCAACCAAACTTGCTGATGGTGAAAAAATCGCATGAAGGTTTACTAATCGAATCGATAGTTTCAATCAATATTAGCATAGCCCAGTTAAGAAATTGTACCCAAAGTTTGCAACTTTTTGTTTGAAACTCCGGTGTAAACGCGGCTTAAGAAGCTGTAAGCTATCCAAACTGCCAATCCCCAATAGACAAACATCCATCCTATTCCTACATGTTATGTTACTTACCAAACTTAATCTTGGCTATGGCTTAAAACTGTTTAAGAGTTTTAACCCCCGAAGTTTAAAGTACTGTGAGATGCCTGTCTTAATCGCTAAAGGTGTGGGATTAAAATATGCAAACGTTAATTTAATTGATTAATTGGTGAAACCACAATGGCACATTGTTTTGTTTTAATTTAAATTCCAAAACCAAAATGCCAAAACTCATGAATGAAATGAAATGCAAATTGCAAATGAAATGACAGAAAAAATATTAAAACTAACATGTGACCAAAGTGCTGCCAACCTAAAATAAACTTAATTCCCTACTCAATTATGACTCACGTTTAGGTAATTGGGACACAGAAATCAGGAATCTCACTTAAAAATCATGATTCAAATTTAGATAATTGGGAAAGAAAGGGTTAAGAACAGCATGAATGATTTACCTGTAACTAGTTCAGTACAAAATAATAACACTAGGTTTAGTGCTAAGCAGTGGCGGATCTAGAACAGCCACAAGGGGGGGGGCGAACCAGGGGGTAGCTGGGGGGTTCAGGGGTACCCCCCCGAAAAATTAGTGTAAACTAAGTCTCCAAAATGGCAGTTTTATACCATTTCTTTGTCCGTTAAGTTAGTGTGACAAATTATTTTATGCAATTTGTATGCACCACTGTATTACACGCAGTAAAAAAATATATGTATGCCCGAGGATAACTGATAAAAGAGCTAGGTCATGCCCTTGTTTCAGGAATAAAACTTGACGTCACACTACATTACAGTATTTTGACTAACTTCCCACGCAAGGATTTAGTCCAGAAAACAGCTGTTTGCCGCCAGCTTATTCAAATGGGGTTTCATTGCGTACTACTGTACTGTAATGAATTTTGCCGGACACCAATCAGCTGATTATACAGTATTTAGGTGGCAATGAGTGGTTATAAACAAAAACATAACCTCTCTTTTAGGTTATGACTATGACTAGTGATTTTTAGTCCTTTAGTTGGTGGAAATATATAAGGATTTGTACAGATTTAGTAGTGTGAGTGTGGCGTAAACTATCGTACGTAACTCGTCCAAAATGTGTATACCGGACTCGACTTCGTCTCGCACGGGAACGACCACACTCGTCCGGTAAACTTTTCAGGACTAGTAACGTATACTATTTCAATCACCTTCCCATGTGAGAAACCTGGAAAGAAAGAAAACTTCCAAACCGCAATATTGTCAACGTCAACATATTCCTAGACAATTTGTCAAAAATCACCTGTCACACTAGAAGTTTTATGAAACAAAAATGTGACAAATTTGTCAAGACATTGACATATTTGTAAAAAATATTTGACGTAAAATTGTAAATTTTTAAACTTATATGAAACAGAAATTTGTAGAATTGTAGACATGTCAAATATACGCGTCACCTCTGTCACCTGTCACCTTTTATGAAACAGGGCCCTTGGTTGAAAATCCTTTTTTTCAAATTTAAAGATTTGTTTACACTGTAGTTAAGTTAGTTAAGTAAGTTTTCCTGTGAACAGTCTGATTCCTTTTTTTGCATAGTGCATGCAATTTTTCTATGAACGGCATGCTTTGCTTTGCTTTGTATTTTTTTGTGCATGGTTTTTAAAATCTTTTGCACATGGTTGGTTTTGATCGGTTTTTGCTTAGTTAGATTTTTAACTCTTGATATTTATTTTATGCTTGTACACTGTTTGACACACGGCCGCCTTTAACTCGAGGCCGAGGCCTTTGAAGTGGCTACGTCGCAAGTGGTGTTGTAACAGCTGTTTTCTTTGGAAGCAGCTAATAATGGTACAGTATTAGTGTTTTTACGAAAGATTGGTTCCTGGACTATGACAATATTGACTCCGCTTAAAATGTACAGATAAAGATTTTTAATTTATATTGTTTCGGTTTTCAATTCTATATGTTTTATTTTCAATATTTTCAATAAATGCATGTTATTCATATATTTAAATTTAAATCAATAAAGTGCGAATTAATGAGCTTATGTCACCTGCACCTGTCTGCCATGTTATCTTATGGGACGTCTGTCACTAAACAACACCACTTGCGACGTTGCCAATTCTACAAGGCCCCGGCCTGTAGTTAAAGTATGTTTTATGTTTTATCTATGGTTAAAGGTGGCCGTGGTTTGACATAGCCTGTAACAATATTGTTGATTGGCCAAATAAAATCATTGTATCAATATTGTATTATTGCTGTTGTTGCCAGTGTTACCAACAGTTTTAAGGCACCGCATCAGTGAATGTACAACATTTGGCCATGCTTTTAATAAGTATTTGACGTATATTGATTGATTTTAAAACTTAAATTAGTCTAATCAACCACCTAATGTAAGATTTATATTTATTAACAATGGTATAATGCATTAAACCCAAATTGTATCACTTAGGATAATTTTTAATGTTAGGGTAGCCCAAAGTAGATTTAGGGTAATTTCAGCCCGCCTTTAGGGTAAAATTGCAACATCGAGCCATCGAGGTGGCAACACTGAGCAGCAGACAACAGGACTGGATAATTTTAGCTCAGTGGAGTGGACTGAACATCACATTGGTATTGGTAATGTTAGCCTAGTATTTGTCTATTAGTCATTAGTCATAATAGGCCTATCACGAAATTGGCCAAGTTAGAGCTCTATCTCCTTGGAACCATCGATCTCTATTTTGGAACTTACCTTAAGTTATAAGCCTCATATATTGACATAAAGTATATTGTATTACTCATTATCAAAGTAACTTATTTTTACCATTAATAAGTCAAGGTAAGTACTTCCTGTTAGGCTAAGTTAGTCTTAACTTATTTTGTATTTCTTTTTAATTTCCTAAATTGTAAACATCCCCCATACCACCATTTTGTACCATTTTGTAAGCGAAAAAAAAATTATAATTTTATGAAAAGATCCTGCCTAGGCCTAAAACTATTTTAGGCCTATCATCTAGGCTAACCTATTCCTCCAGCAATTTTTTTTCTATTGTTACCATAGTGTATGCTACACATTAAATTTAGTCCTAGGCCTACCACCAATCAACAAATAGATGTTAAAAATATTTACAAAAACTCCTGGGCTTTCAAAATCACCCAAACTTCCTTTAACTTTGCTTCTTATTTTCTTTTTCATTAAAATACCTACTTTGTATGGCCGCCATTTCAATAAAAAGTATTAAAAGGTATTATGACAAAAGGTCAAATAATGACAGGCAAGTTTATAACAACATTATAGTTACATGCTATTACATGCTTATTACATGCTTCCCAGCATTTACTAACGATTTATGTTTTCGCAAAGGATACACGTCCAGTAAACGAACGTGGATTTGGTCCAGCAGTGACGTCACTGGGTTGTGATGGCCCGGAACACCATTAACACAACGATACGGTGGAATGCCGTCAGTGTTCTTGGTGTAGTGGATATAGTACTCGGCTGATGTTCAAGAGGTACTTAGATCAAATCCCATCGGTGTCTTACTTGTTTTCAAAGATTTTGTTAATAATGCCATTTCTTCTTAACTGTACATTTTTTGTTAGAATTTGAGGCATTTATAATTTTATTTTATGAATATAATTTAAACTTCAATTTGATTTTTAGTCTGGTTAGTTAGGTTAGGTTATGACAGTAACTGCTGGACGCCTAATCCACGTCGTACGCGTATCCTCTTGCTTTTTTTCATGTTTAGTCTGGTCAGGATTTAAAGTTTTTTAATAGTGCTATTTACGATTGGCTTAACTAGGCCTAGCACAACTGTATCTATTTTTAATCCAGGGTGGCTAGTGACCTGGAAAACCTGGAAAACCTGGAAATGTCAGGGAATATTAAATATCTGGAAAAGTCATGGAAAAGTCAGGGAATTTTGTCATAAGTCAGGGAAAATTGTAAAATGTTTAAAATAATTTTAATAATTGTTAGGAAAGGTCTATCTGGTGAGAATACGTATGCCGTGTGGGTGAAAACTAAGAAAAATGTCTGTACAAATAAATTTTGTATTTTTGTACAAATTAAATTTTGTTATAAACTCATCAAACTCATCTTATCAAACTCAGTTTAATTTTATTAAGGCAAGTTGCAAAGTTTGAATATAAGCTAGCCTGTATCTATAGATTTTATGTATTTTTTTGAAACATAAGATATTCTTCAGATAAAGATTAGTCCTTTTGAAGAATTGGTCAGGATTAAAATTGTAATTTTGAATTTGTCGATCAGGGAAAGTTTAAAAAAATCATGGAATTGTCAGGGAAAAGTCAGGGAATTTTTCAATGTGATTTCACTAGCCACCCTGTTAATCGGCCCTGGTTAAAAATCCACGTGTTTTTTGGCTGTTGAAAGGTTTCTTGACCTAGGATATTATATTTTTCCATTTTAATTACTTAGTAGGCCTACCTTTAAGTTACTTGTGTTTTCTAAACGGACCCGAGTGTTGCTTAACTTAATGTCTAACTTGCAGTAGGCCTAATAAATTAAAAATACATAGGCTATTTTTAAGTCTCATGCTTCTCTTGAAATGAAGTTAAGTACCCTTGCTTGGCTGTTCTAGAGAGGGAAAAGGGTGAAAGAGAAGGCTGCTAAGGTGTACCGTACCTAACTAAAAAGTGCAATACAGTAGAACCTCTTTAATCCGAACTAATTGGGACCGGGGGTAGTTCGGACTATTGAATAGTTCGGATTACAGAACATATTGTTGTCTTTACATAACAATAGCTGAAACAAGGCTAAAATGGATCGTAATTGCTACGGGAAAAGTTAAAAAATGCTTTATAAAGTAAAATAGCCTACAGTTTTTATTTAATACAGTAGTTAACATAGTGAATAAACAGTAATGTACATTAAATACAGTATACAATAGAGAACTACTGTACTGTGTATAAAGTACAGCAATGAGGTGTTCGGATTAGTGGACGTTCGGATCACGGGGGTTCGGATTAAAGAGGTTCTTCTGTAAATATTAATTTAGTAAGAATAAATAGGTGACAAAAAGGGCGGCAACACTAGGTACCTAAAGAAGGTGCTTGCGATTTTGAGGTTTGGGTATGGATATCCGTTTTGGGTCCTTCTGAACCCGAAAAAGTGGTTTTTGAAGTAACATTTGTATATGTCTGTGTTATTAGATGTAGGCCTATAGGCCTACAGAGCTACCGACCAAACCTGTGGTCTGATTTTGATGAAATTTGGTATGGGGAGTAGGCTACTAATCCTTAGTATCTCCAGTTTTTTTTTTTAATTTAATGGTCACTTTAACATAAAAACCCATTAAAATAAAGTACGGTAACAAAAACCGCTCAAGAACGATTTAGACTAAAATTTAGTATGTTATAGTCCCATCATATTTAAACCAAAAACCAATGATCTTGGTTTTAAAGAAAATGGTACATCCCCCATTGCCGTTACAGTTAAAAAGTTATTGCAAATTTTGTGATTTTCCCCATAAAATATCATATTTTACTTCCACTGCTCATAAGGGTTGTTGACAAGCTAATGGGAGAAAGTAGGACTATGTGTCAAATTGCTGATACCGTGTACTTAGATTTAACTTACACAGACAAAATATTACTGTTGAGATTCGATTATCGGACATAAATTTCTAAACACACCTGTACAGTCACTGTTTAACTTATTTCAGATGGCAAACTACAATTCCTTCAGAATTCTATTGCGATTCGCCAAAGAAAACCCAACCGTAATTTATCGCACCATCTGCTGCAATGGAAACAGTCGATCTGAGGTAGGTTTTGCCATTCTATTTTACCCTCAGTTAGTTGAATAATAATTAGGCCTATACTAGGCTGACATGCTTTTAGGTAAAAAAAACCTGCTATACTACTAATGGTTGAGTTTAGGCTATTAATGTTATGTTGGCTGTATAAATTTGATTCACGACTCGTAATAAACATCATTCTTGACACACAAACTCCAAAAATCTAAATAAAGTGGACAGTATCAAATCAAATTTTGAGTAAGAAATTAAATTTTATCCAACTAATGAACACATCCCTAGTGGAAATGTATTATGTGTATTGGCTACCGTACTTATTTGGGGATAAATTAGGTTTTATACTTACTCTAAATCACACTACTTGTGCCCAAAATGATTTTTCACCATACTGAACAGCAGTTTTTAATGCATGCGTTGTGGGTCCAAAGTCCAATTTAGGGAGCAAAAAGCGTTTTTAGCCCCTAGGGAGTAAAAATCAGCTGTAGTCAACTCAGTTTTAAATTTGATTGTAAACAATCGCATATATCGAAATTATGTATGGTATTGATTGTTTAAGATCGAATTGTAGCCTTATTGTAAATAGTATCGAGAGTATAATGTAGGCCTACACTAACACAATCGTAATATACAAAATTATTGAATCACTTACTAAACAGCTCTGCTTGTTTCCATTTAGCAAATTAAATTGAAAACAAGCTAGAAGTAGTTTGGGAGGTTGTCTTTAAATGAAAACTATTTCAGTAATTGTAACATCAAATTAACACATAATAACAGTCAAAATTACAGACCAATTTCTTTACTCAGTAATGTATCTAAAATTTTTGAAAAAATTATTCATCTTAGAATTGCAAATTACCTGGAATGTAACTCAAAACTGTGTCAAGAGCAGTTTGGTTTTAGAAGAAATCTAAGCACACATAATGCTCTTTTTACTTATATTAGTAGTGTCCTTGAAGCTCTGGATCAGTCACAGTTGACTGCAGGAGTTTTCTGTGACTTATCCAGGGCTTTTGACTGTGTGGACCACAGGTTGCTGCTGATCAAATTGAAGAATATTGGCTTGGAGGGAATGGCACTAGAATTATTACGATCATACCTATTCAATCGAAAGCAGCGCACAATAGTAATACAAAAATCAATAAAATATTATTCTAACTGGGCCAGCGTTACATATGGTGTTCCCCAAGGTTCCATACTTGGGCCTTTATTATTTATTATATTTATTAATGACTTGCCTAATTGCCTTTCCACAAATTCCTGTGCTTTCACTTTGTATGCCGATGACACAACTGCTCTTTTAAAAAGAAAAACACTAAGTGAACTTAAATTCACTTTTGACAGCACAATTAAAAAAATCAATGAATGGTTTGAGAGCCATGGCCTGAAATTAAATGAATGTAAAACTAATATTCTTCAATTTAAACTCAGAAACAGAGTTACAGACACCACAATCAGTAATACAAAAATTGTTAAGTTTTTAGGTCTAAATTTAGACTCAAAATTAAGTTGGTCTGATCACATTCATCATCTAAATAAAAAATTAAGGTCAACAAGGTATTCACTAAGTGTACTATCCAAGGTCACGCCTTCCTTCCTTCCTTCCTTTGTCACGAGAGCCGAAGCCCCCTGACTACATACCCGGTACCTATCATGTGACATACCCGGGCCCCATGATGTAGGCCGAAGCTTACGCATCAACCTTTAGCACATCATGGGCGGATGACTTAAGGTCATCAGGCTCACCGGCTGCCGAAGCAGACCCTTCGGAAAGAGGGTTGCCCCTCAATCCTAACCAGGGATTCCGGCTACTTGTTTAAGCGTCACTCCAGTTGGGTTCCACCAGGTACGACACCCTGGAGGACCATACTGGAGCGCCCCGACGCATTTAGTGCAAGTGACACTCGGGACCTATCTAATCCCTGACAGGCAGAACCCGCCATCATAGCCAGAAGGAGGGGACCGTCAACCTCCCATTTACACCACTACCCAATCGAGGCCTTACCCAGTTGCTGGGAAACCAGAGATAGCCAGAGCGATAGATCCCCGGATACCCCTGGCGGGCTCGGACCCAGCACCCGATCTACTTCGTTTGCCCGTCAGACCCAACATCACTGCCAGGCCATCAGGGTTTCCCAAAAGGAGGCAGGTATAGAAGTGGGACCCACCCGGATGAACCTATCCACCAAAGGTGGCGACACCCTTAACTCAATTGAGGTTCCGGGAAGAACCCCCCACACTCAAGATAACCATACCGTCCGTGATCAGAGACAGGGATTAGTTTGCATAAGTGCCTACAAACCGTTGCCCTCACACTGCGGAAAGTTACGTTTCCCTTGAGTGTCCCCATGAGCTGCGGGTACTTGCCCGTTTTCACCTCCAGGAAAGGCTACTTCCAGAGTCGAGGATATGCCACACTGAATGCTGGTCGCACACTACAAGCAGGCCGAAGCCCAGAGAACCACAGACACAGGTAGGTTGGAGATTATGATGCACTTCCATCTCTCCTAGAGCTAAACACCCCTTCCATCCTGGATAAAGGAATGTCACTGGGACCCAATGCCCAGTCCTCCATGTCTGTGGCCTACTTGCAATGCCGATTCCAACACCGGACAGTTGCCTCCTCTCTGGGGGCCCAAGGTCACGCCGCTAGAAGTCTGCTTGACAGTATATCATGCATATGTTCATTCTTTGCTGGCTTATGGCGTCACTCTATGGGGTAACTCTGCAGAGGCCAGGAAAGTGTTCACTTGCCAAAAGTCAATTCTCAGAACAATTTTTCACCAGAAGTCTAAAAAAAGCTGTAAACCTTTTTTCAAAAAACATTCCATTTTAACATTACCTTCTCTTTATATATTTGAAATAGCAAAGTATGTTCATGCAAATCCTTTCTTTTATGAAAAATATAAAATAAATCATAACTATCAAACGAGAAATAATAACAAAACTTTTCAACATCCCAAACATTCGCACACAAAATTTGAAACTGTGCCTCTTTACATGGGATTAAAAATCTACAATCATTTACCTAATTCATACAGAACTTTATCAAAATCAAATTTTACATATAAACTGAAAGAGACTTTGAGCCAAAAAGCGTATTACAAAATTCAGTCGTTTTTTAAAGATAAATTTTAATAGTTTTTACTCTTGTCAGGGTATAATTAGATTAAGGAACCTAGATATAAATTAGATATAAATTGACCATGTACCAGCTTGGGAATTACTTTTGTAATTATTGTATCAGGCGTTATGTACAATAAAGCTTTGTCTATTGTCTATTGTCTATTGTCTAATTATGGTGCAATATGATAAAAAATATAGTTCATCACACGGGCAAATAGTGGCTATTCAACCCTCGCTCATTTTCCAAACTCGGCTTCGCCTCGATAAAGCTTGAATATATACTATTATTCCTACTTACTTTTGGTAAAAAAAACATACTCTATCCTTGAGGTCGCCATCTACTTGTACTGGCGTCTAGTTGTACCTGCTGCATTTTGGTGATAGGCGTCTATTTGTACCTTGTACAAAATCTGTAGATACAACTTGACGGTGGCGCATGCGTCTTGTTGTACCTCTTAAAAATCTGCAGGTACAACTTGTCAGGTACGCCACCGTCTAGTTGTACCTCTACGTCTGCGTCTAGTTGTACCTGTACGTCTGCGTCTAGTTGTACCTACGTACGACTAGTTGTACCTACAACCAGTTGTACCTAAAACCAGTTGTACCTACATCTAGTTGTACCTACGACCAGTTGTACCTACATCTAGTTGTACCTACCTACGACTAGTAAGGGAACCCAGATTTATCACCTTGTTTAAGGCCCGGGCTACTTTTGTAGAGCTTATAAAAACATCTAGGCCTAATTTAGTACCTATATTGAAGTGTTTTGTAAAATATTAGTCACAGAGAAAATAAAAAATAATTGTAAATTAAAATGTCTATGTTATTTTTATGGATAAAAGTTAACTTTTGTAGTTTTGCTTGTTCATACACAGGGTGTTTATAAAAAACTAATAGATTTTAGCTTTGTCTCACGCATCCTGTGTTAGAGGTAGAAACTTATAAAATATAGGTATAGTTTTTATTATTTGCTAGGAAAATTCAACAATATTTATAATCAACTGTTTTGATTAGCAGTACTGGTACCTTCTTCTTACATTGTTGTGGGATGAACAAAAACAAAACAGTAACATCTTGTTAACAAATTGTTGGATTGGCTGTGACGTGTGTGTGTATTTTTAAGAGGTAATATTTGGCTCATACCTTGGCCACCGAGGTCGCCAGGCATTAACCCTTGTGATTTTGTTTGTTTAAGGATTTGTTAAAGATCGAGTTTCAATAGATACTATCAAAGTCAACAGCTTGGAAGAAATGAAGTGAAAAATAAGAGAAGCATTTGGTGAAATTGATGTTCCAATATTATTTTCATCATCAGTCTATATAAATCTTGTATTAATTTTTGAAATTTTTGATTGATTCTTATAATGATAAATTGCCTACCGTATGCCTATCTGTTGTGGCTCCCTAGAAATAATTGGACGTTTTTTCTCCCTAGAAAGTGTGTTATAATTATATTATTATAATGGTGGTTTATTAGGCTACAAGACTATGCCAATTAATTTATGACTGATGTCAACTGGTTCCCCATGCACAGGCTTCGCCTATGTCCCCCTATCAATTTTCAGAAATTATTTAGGCCTACATACTGTAATTATTGTTCTTTTATGATAGCCTAGTTCAGTTGCTTTTGATTTTATTTATTTGATTTAATTTTCTTATTGTATTTTACAGGGAATATTGCATTAAACAATTCGCAGAGCTCGAGGTTAATTTAACAACTTTTATATTTAAAAACAAAAACACTCAACGATAGTTATCCAGAAAACTATTTTACTAATAGCCTATTTGTATTACGACTTGATATATTTACAACAAAACTTGTAAGATAGTTAAACAAAGTAAACTTGCACTACAAATGTAAAGATATTTGGAACGAATGTATGAAATTGCATGATAATATTTAATAAATAACATTTGGTAATCCTCATTCTAAGTTGAAAAAAAGTTTTTCAATGCTACTCAATTGACATGGAATATGCAGTCTCTGATTTAAAAAGGGTATCATTAAAACTAGGTACTCATTCAGTAACCATTTAAAAAGATGACAAATCGAAGGGGACACATAGACTACTAGGCACAAGTAGACGTAGGTACAAGTAGACGCATCCATGGTAGCTGGGCGATACCACTTGCTCATGGCATTCACGTCTAGCTGTACCTACGTCTAGTTGTCACTACGTCTAGTTGTACCTCTTAAAAATCTGCAAGATACAACTTGTCGGGTAGACCCTCGTCTAGTTGTACCTACGACTAGTTGTCCCAAGGTACGAAGTACAACTACACGTGGGAACAACTAGACGGTGGTACAACAAGACGCGGTCCCTATCCTTGCAGTGCATGTATTCAAAACAGCTGTTTCCTCCTTCAGAACAAAAGTGTTTGTTTGCTGTGCTGGTCTACTCTTTCTACATTTCTTAAAATGAAGTGAAAAACTGAGGTAGGGTATCTCTTCAAAAAAAAAATCTATATATTAAAACAAAGATAACACAAGGCTCTTATTTCTTCTTTAAAGCCAAGCCACTGCAATCTAACAACAGCAACTGATTGGCTATCTGGCAATATATATAACTGCAAATAATTATTAAAAATGTTTGTGTAGAAAATTTCTTGCAGCTTTAGTTGAAATTATTTGTTTCAGTTCAAGTCAATGCTATTGAAACGAACCCATGAACCCAGCTACAACATTGTTCGATACTACAAGAACATAAACCACAAGGAGCCTCCTACACCATTTATCGGGAAATTGTGGCATGCATTCCTTGGCCTCGCAATGTTGTGTACCATTCTAGACTTTGACTAGTAAGTATTAACATAGACTAACCAACACAAGTAGACTTCTCATCCCATTGTAAATTTTGAAGCACGCTTTTCGTGTCTAGTTCATGTACGCCACACTGGGCGCTAGTGTCGACACAATTTTGTTTCTATTATTTTAGAGTTAATTTCTTGATTTGTGCTTTACTGTTTGGTTATATAACTAGGAGACAAGTTATTGTTTATGATTAGATCGTATTATTTGGTTAAACGACATTTTAAATGACCGTAATAACGGGAAACAAATTGTAAACAAAACATAACCTCTACAGTTGAACGTACAGAACTAACAATAAAATTGGCTTCAGCTGTTCCATAAGGATGACAAATCTACTAAGGGAGTATGTTTTATCTATGGTATTATCTTATAGTTACAATCAATTTTGTTTGGTCAATCAATTTCAGTTTCATATTTTTCTAAAGTTTGTGAAATCGAGGAAATATGGAATCATGTATTGGTTTATGGGTTATCAATAATAACGGGATTGTAATTGGTTAACACTTTTACTATATTGATCACATTAAAGACACAACAGAAATACTTGGTCACATGTTGAGGATTTCGCTATCTTGAGTGGGCGCTGGAGAAGGATGGAGCGAAAGTGAGATGTTGGGATAAAAAGAGGAATAACTTACAGAAACATACAATGATATATATATACAGTATTCTGGAGTGTTAGCTATGTAATTTTATATTTTGTTACAAATATGTAACTTTGGCTCTGTGTGTTAGATCTAAAAGTGTTGAGTTGTATATTAAGGTTGTACTTAATCCTTAAAAAAAAATTAGTCTGGAGTTTAGACTTATAATCTGTCATCGTGGTCTGCTAGTCCCCAATATTTTCGTGTGAAGAAAGTGTCTGAAGATTAGCGATAAAAAATTGACTATTTCGTAGCAATCTTGTTTTTTCCGCGATCGTGTGAGTTGATGGTTATGATATCAGGGTAGCTGAGTGGTCATAGTGCTTGCCTAGTAATCAAAAGATTTCTGGTTCAAACCTGAGAAAAGTTAGTAGCTTTTTGATGGTTCGAAACTGGACCCAGCTGTCCTCGATCATCAGGCTTAGCTTTTGATCATAGGCAGGAGAAAAGCTAATTAATTCATCTCAAATCCTTTTACACAATTGGCTTGTAAATCTGTGGTGTGATATCGTCACTATACTGCACGTGATTCAATTCCTTTGATATCACGGACGATTAATATCAAACATTAGAAATGACAAAATAAATTTTAACAAAAACTAGGTATCTTCTTTATTGTTTTCAACAAAACAACATCCTAAACTATTTTCTGTTTACAAAACAATTGAAAAACATATGACTGTTTATATATTAATTATTAAACAGTCTTTTGGCAAACTTATATGAAATATATTGAGGGGTTTTCTTTATCAATGATTAATCATCGTACGTCAATCATCCCCCCCAAAACCCTCAATATATTTTTTTGAAAATTTTAAAACTAGGTGTTAAATTTGGATCTAGAGTCATTTCTGCACTTGAACCTCTTTTTCTTGGAATATGTGGTGTTTTTCTTTTTAAGTGTCTTTCTCTTAGAAGGTCTTGCTTTCTTTCTCCGTCCCTCTTCATTACTTCCTTCTTCACTTGCAGATTCCACATATTTTCCACCATTCTCTTTCCTTACTCTTCCACTACCTTCACCATAACTCTCAGACTGGTTGACCTGCCGCAACTTCTGACGATTTCTCAGTTGTAAGTAAAGGTATTCTATCTTTTTGGTCTTCCTTTCCCTTTCCACCTTTTGTTGGTACTGTAACAGACAATGTTGCCTGTTGCAGTGTTTAGGGACCATCTTGTCCCACTGCCTGATCTTCAGTTCTTGCTCCTTCCCTCTCATCGTATCCTTGGCCTCCTCGAAATATTCACACGACGTAACATTGAGTTCAGGTCGTATCTCGGTGTCCTTTGCGGTTGACGTGACCCCAGGAGCATCGGTCCAATGCAGGATCCCATCCTCATCTCCCGAGATGGCTGATGAGTCCTCGACGATCACTGTCCGTCGCAAGATCTCTTCTGCACCTCCTGTGATGACCGTTGAGTCCTTGACCCTCTCTGTTGGCCGCAGGATCTCTTGTCTATCTCCCAAGATGGCTGATGAGTCCTCGACCATCACTGTCCGTCGCAAGATCTCTTCTGCACCTCCTGTGATGACCGTTGAGTCCTCGACCCTCTCTGTTGGCCGCAGGATCTCTTGTCTATCTCCCAAGATGGCTGATGAGTCCTCGACCATCACTGTCCGTCGCAAGATCTCTTCTGCACCTCCTGTGATGACCGTTGAGTCCTCGACCCTCTCTGTTGGCCGCAGGATCTCTTGTCTATCTCCCAAGATGGCTGATGAGTCCTCGACCATCACTGTCCGTCGAAAGATCTCTTGTCTATCTCCCAAGATAGCTGATGAGTCATCAAACGTCTCTGTCTGACGTAGGATCTCTATACCTCCCGGAATGGCCGATGAGTCCTCAAACGTCTCTGTCTGACGCAGGATCTCTATACCTCCCGGGATGGCCGATGAGTCCTCAAACGTCTCTGTCTGACGCAGGATCTCTATACCTCCCGGGATGGCCGATGAGTCCTCAAACGTCTCTGTCTGACGCAGGATCTCTATACCTCTAAACAGAAAATAGTTTAGGATGTTGTTTTGTTGAAAACAATAAAGAAGATACCTAGTTTTTGTTAAAATTTATTTTGTCATTTCTAATGTTTGATATTAATCGTCCGTGATATCAAAGGAATTGAATCACGTGCAGTATAGTGACGATATCAATTGGCGACCGTGACAGGACTTTAAGAAGAAATGGCAAAATTAGGAGAACCACCAGCAGACCCGGTGAGTATGTTACTAGTAAAGATTTCGGCACAGTTAGATACTCGATCAAAACAATTGGATACTCATTTGGCAGGCATCAAAAATGTAATTTCATCCTCCATTAAAAAGATATTTTCTGTTTACAAAACAATTGAAAAACATATGACTGTTTATATATTAATTATTAAACAGTCTTTTGGCAAACTTATATGAAATATATTGAGGGGTTTTCTTTATCAATGATTAATCATCGTACGTCAGGTGTCCAGATTGGCTTAGCAAAGCAATGTGTTGGTAAACTAGGCTAGGTATTTTTTTTTTAATTGTGTATTTTTTGTCAAAAAAATTCAATTAATCTTTAGAGTTTTCTAACTTTTAGGAATGGACTGAAACATATCTATACTAGAGGCCACGAGAGTCTGCAGTAGGTGGAGGCCAATACCAAGACTGGACTAGTGCGACGTTGCAACATCACCCGTTCACTACTTTTTGACACTAATTGAAATATACTAAACAATAAATACAAATCAGCTATTATTATTAGATTTAGCAACAACGCACAGTCCTCATTGGCTCCTTCGATGTCATTTGAGAAATAGGTTCCCCCCTCAACTGCAGACTCTCGTGGACTGTAAATACGTATTTTTATTTAGAGTTAACCAGGCACTATTGTGGTTTCATAATTTTTTTTGCCATTTTTCCAAGCTTTGTGGACTTGTACAACAGTAAGAAATCAAAAGTTCCCGAGTTTCCCAAAGTCGAGGCTGCTTCGGCAGCTCGTGTTGTAGATCAGTCTGATGGAGAAGTGAAGGTAACAGAGGGAGAAGAAGAAGGAACAAAGAAAAAGAAACGCATCAAAGAAAAAGTGGGCTTCAGAGATCGTAAGGTAAATATATACAACCCAGTTTACAGTACTAATGATGTCGCGCCTGTTTCATAATAAAAAAATACAAACTAGCTGATCGCCCAATGGAAATCTAATTGAAATTACAAGTTACAACTTATGATTTGTAGTTTATTATGAAACAGGCTCCAGGTCATAAAAGCTTCTCCAAAGCTTCAAAATTTCTTATAATCCTTTCAGTTGGAGTTCTCTAAAAAACACAATATACAATGTAAACTCTTTTTAAATACTATTCTGATTTTTTTTTTTTTAATTAAAGCATTTAATATAACATCTCTCACTCCAAAACAATAACCCTACACCAGTTTGCCTCTTAAGAAAATTTACTGTGAGCACCCTTTGCTCATTTAAAGAGTTATGAGTTTGTTATTAAAACACTGAATCTCAATAGAAATCACAAAATTGGGTTTGTTACAAAAGGGCTGGCTCTATTTAAACTGAGTTCTTTTACAACCACCATCATTTGGACAGATTTGTTCAAATTATGTAACAACATTTACTCATTGTAATTACAACTATCAAACACACTGAGAAACCCCTATATACAACTTGGAGCCTGAACAAACCAAATAGATATAGTGTGATTGGTGTTAAGCTGATAATCATGTTTTAGCGATCACTTTGAACATTTTATATCTAATTGATCTCGTTGCTTCATTAGCATATCTGTATGTACCTTAAGCTCTTTTCTGGGTAAACTGTTTCAGGGCAAATTTAAATAGCTGCAACCCTTTCTTAAACAAACGTCCATTAATCTATGGCCAATCAGTCTCAATTTCTATAAATTTTTCAATGCCGTACTGCAAATATAAATGTTTCTAAGCAGAAAGTATTGTTAGATTAAAGAGTATGAGAACCGCATGAGACTGTACTCCACGCCCGATAAGATATTCCGCTACTTCGCCACGGTGAAGATGTCCACGACTGACGGCAGCTCGGAGATATACATGACTCCGGTGGATTTGCTACGAGCTATCACGCCGGACATGAAACAACCCGAGGGTAAAGCAGTGTTCCCTCGGTTGTGCATGATGTAGTCACTTCTACAACCTGTTAGGTCTCAGGCACCGGCAATTGGTTGAGGGTGCTTCCTAACTCTCTAATGCTATCCAGTCCTTGCTTTTATTAACTTTTTAGGTGGGAACAATTTAATGCTCCGATTGTAGAGATGACTTTAGCTGGGTGAAGCTACTCGTCAGGTGTAGTTCTTTTATGATGTTGTTTTTCAGAACTTGTTGTTTAACTATCTTTGTAGGTGGAACTGGGAGCTGTTACAACTTGACTGCAAAGGCTTTGATTGTCAAGGCTCAGTAAAACAAATTAACAGGAGCAGTTATTTTTTTATGCTATTTTTCTCGAACCTGTTTGTTAACAACGATTTTAGGTTGAATTGGGAACTGCTTATCTCGGCTGCAAAGAACTCAGTTGTTTAAAGACTCAGTAAAACGACTCAGCAGGTGCAGATATTTTATGGTACTATTTTTCTGGAACTAAGTAATTTAACAAACCTCTAAGGTGAACCTGGAAACTGTTGCAACTGAAGTTGTATTGGCTTCTATAGCAATAGGGGTGTTGTTAATGCATTGGTGGAAAACTAATCTACAGGTGCAGATCTATTGTGATGTTATTCGTCTGGAACTAATTAGTTCTACCAACTTTTTAGGTGGAACCGAGAAAATCTGTAAAGGCTTCCACTATTGAATGCTGATTGACTCCATTGTTTCCAAATCTGTTGTAAGAAGTTTCTTTATATATAAATCTATCCAGTGCCACATATATTATAATTTTGTTTACTACAATGTATATTAGTTTTTGAACATATTTACACTGTACACCCAAAGTGATGTCACAATGTTGAGCGATCCTGTATATAGTTGGACAAATACTGGTTTAGAACCTAAAATTCACAACCAATGGTTCACTTTCATGAAACCAGTGGACTTTACCAGATAACAAGCTCATTAGGTTGATTTTGAATTGCTAATGTCTATTTAATTAGCTCAAGACGCTACAACTGAGCTACATGTTTGTCACTTCTAACCAGTTATTTATTTATTCACCCATCTGGACCTTTTCCGTTAATTCACTACGTTTTTTTCAGTTGGAATTTTATAATTATCCCTATCTCCAATTTAGGATTAGGTTATTTCAGGTTGAATTTGGTTAGTCATAGACATAAACATATAATCTTTATTCAAGAGTACAACATGTTGCACCAGAATGGCGTTATACAATTAAATTATATTGTTAAAACTTGTTATTAGTTTCCTTGTAGCAGCAAACCTAGGTACTCGATAAGCCTAATGTTATTGAAATTGATTTCATTGAAAATCAATTCAGACAAATGGGAATTCCCTAAGTCGGCAGGTTTGCTGCGGCGGGGGTATTTAAATATAATTGAACTGAATTGAATTGAAGCCAAGCTAAAGCTCACCCCTTGATACCCAAACAAAACCAGATATTTACCAGCTTGGAGTGTGACTCACTATCAAAAGCCTTGCTCAGGTCTATAAAGACCCCAGGAACATTATTTCTCGTATCCACTGAGTCTATTACTGATTAAATGAACTTAACACTAGCACTAATCACAGACTTTCCGGATTGAAACCCATGTTGTTCTTTATCTATTAAGTTGTAACAGAAATTCTGTTAATTTTATGCTTTTTCAAATATCTTAGAAAAGGAAGGTAATAAAGATGTAGGTCTATATATTTTGAAGGTATAGTGGGGTCTTTCTTTTTAAAAAATGGTTTAATTTTAGAAATATTAAATTTTTCAGGAAAAATACCTGTAATAAAAGAAGAGTTTACAAGATGACATAATGGATATTTTAAATAGTCAATTACTGTTTTAATAATAGGCGTGGAGATGCCATCATAACCAATAGAAAATTCATTTTTAAAAGAAAAAACTATTGATTTGATTTCTTCTAATGATAATGGTTGAGGAAGAAATTGTTTATTTGAGTGGCTTAAAAGGGGCGTTTGATTATTTATTGGGTATGTTTTTGATTATTGGGTATGTTTTTGATTATTGGGTATGTTTTCCCAAACATACCCAATAATCAAACACCTCTTTTAAGCCACTCAAATAAACGGGGATGATTTCTGTTTCATCCATGATGGCATAGAAGTGCACTTACCAACCTGGGATCACTGACGTTTTTGTTTCTATGCTTTAAAGTATTGTTTTGTGGTTAGATTGGGTTAGAATGAAGACACTAAACCTCGATTGTGTATTGTTACATACAAGTTATTTGGAGTTGGTGAATTAACAGAAAAGGTCCACCCTTCTTTGTGTCCACTGGCAGTTCTTTATCAACAAGAATTCACATGTTTGTTACGTAGTACAATAAATATAACTATACTAACTTATTTTATACATTCAATATCTCGATCATTACTTATATTTATTATTTATAGCATTCCCAGCACATCTTCTACGTAAATATTTCGTCAGCTGTGTTGACTAATGGTGGAATACGTTCACATGTTTTTTTGCTGTCAGATTATAGAGTACGAGAACCGCATAAGACATTTCTCCACGCCTGATAAGGTTTTCCGATACTTTGCCACTCTGCAAGTTTCGCACGTTCACTCGTCCGGGGCCGAGTCTCACGAAGTGTTTATGACCCCTGACGACTTTCTCAGGTCAATGACCCCTGGCATCAAGCAACCAGATGGTACTTACTGATTATGTTCCTTGGAAACTAGGTTTGGCAAATAGAAGGTTAAAGCATATTGTTAGTAATAAATTGAAAACATTTGTCGGTGGCACATTGATGAAGTTATATTTACAATATCAATAGCTTTAACTTTCTGTTTATAGACAATTTTTACTTAGGTTTAATTGTTTAAAGCTCTATCGATGAGTGTGTATGGTTTCAAAGTGTAATGAAGTTTATTTTATTACCATTTGCTTTACACATGCTTCACAACTGAGTGAGATCACAGAAGATAGTTACATGGTCCATAGCTATTTCAATATACTGTTGAAAATGGTTACATACCTACCATTTACTGATAGTCAAACCAGTTAAGTTAAGTTTAATTCTATGAGCTGTGTGGAAGTAAAATTGACAACATTAATAAAAATAGTTGCTCTGCCCGTGCTTTGCAACGGAGTGAGAATACAGAAGAGAATATGTTATTCATTAAATCTATTGTAAAAAAAAAACAAAAAAAAAAACAGGTACACACAAATATGGGTTCAATTAAATTTTTGTTAAGGTAAAAATTGTTTAGACTAGACAGGGGTTCATATTGATATTTTTTTTATTGTTGGAGTACCGGTACCACTACCTCAATAACTAAATAAGGTGGTGTATAAAAAAATAGAAAATATAAATTTACATCAAGTACCGTGTGTTTATTTTAAACAATGAAATACATAATGCAAACCAATGTTAGTTAGATAGTATAATTAAAAATAAAGGAGAACATTTGTTTTCAGAATTATAAAAAATAGTATTGATTCCAAATTTGACAAATAAAACGTAAAACTAAAGTCCAAACTAATAATAAATCAGTCAATTATTTTAAACTGATATCACCAGTGTCAAAACAACGTACAAAAACTCAAAACATCAAAACAAAGAGAAATTGAGGGAGGTGGTGGGAGGGAGGAACGTCGAGACATGAGTCACATCCACTGAGACTCGGGACGGAGACGGCTGCTATGAGGGATGGCACGGGGAGTGTATAGTTCAATCCAAAATTCCTACAGAAAATGTGATTTCTTAAACATATTAAGATTCTAATATTAATTATAGTTTTTTTGAATAATAATATTTTTAGTTTAAAAACTAAATTTTATAAAACTAATGAATAATTTTATGTATTTATATCGGCAGAAGCTTTGTATACTTGAATGCTACCACCCTAGTACTCCACCAGTGGTTCGCGTACCACCATTTAGGAACCGCTGGACTAGACTAAAAATTGTAAAAGCCAGATACAATGATTTGATAGAGCTTTTAAAATGTTTGGTGTAACTTTGGTATCAATTTACTTTCAAGCTAAAATACCCCTGCCTCAGCAAACCTGTAGCCTGAGCAAAAAATTTCCTGATTGGATTTTCACTGAAATTTTTCCTAAAAAATTACAGACGTTAAAAGTTACAGACCTGTTAATATAACATAAGGTTTAGTGATTACTTAGATTTGCTGCTACAGGGTAGGTAATAAATTGTAAGAGAAGAAGCAAACTACAACCGGCTACTTATTTTCTATAAAAATAACATAGGAATTTTAAATGTACTATGTTTTTTATTTATTGATGCACAAAAAAAGGAAACCATTAAAAACTAAAACTATAATTTGTTAACCTAGATATTTTGTTACTATGTTTCTTTTCTTTCTTCCACGCCAATAACAAATTTAAAGTCACTTGCCAAAGTTTAGCCAAACCGTTACATTTTGTAAATGCTTAGATTTTGTTTATTATTTTATTTTAAGGTCCTAGCTTTAATTAAGTTGTACCATATGCTGATGGATTATTTTCTGCTTGATTTTTCTACACTGTTGTTGAGTGTAACTTTTATTTGCTGATTTCTAGTGCAGCATTTTTAGCTTCTTTGCAGCTGATGTGAAATGCCGACCATCGATAATTTATGTTTTCTATTTCCATAGTCTATTTAGTGAGTAGTATCAATTATTTTTGCACCTTTTGTAAGTAGTTGAAAATGTTTCATGTTAGTTACTGGTTTTAATGCACAAATAGAGATTTGCACTAGCTTTTTTTAAAAATAACACTTAAATGATGCTTGATTAACGCATGATTGAAATTGGTGCTGCCATTTGCTTTTTGCACACTAAACAATGCTTGCTTGCCTTAACGTAGATTGTCAGGGTGTAGTGTTTCTCAACTTAACAAATATTTTGTATTTTGTCTGGTGAGTCTAAAAAATGTTAAATAATTGAAATAGTTATTATAAATTTATAATGCTATTAATTTTTATGAGAATCTTTCTCTTGTAGGCCTAGTAAATATAAAGAAGTAATGTTTGTTTTTTAATCTTTCTATCAGTCAAAGAGTAAAAGGAGTTTCATTTGAAATTTTTACAGGATTTATTATTTGGCAGTTCGATTTCACAATTATTATTAAAACTTAAATTACTTGTATAATTAAAAAATATGTGATTCTCATAGGGCACCTCACTTAAAGAAAGTAAAAGGTACTATTATTATTTATATTTTAAATTTTCGTTCTTAAAATAATCGTTTACACAATTGTGGCTTAAACACCTTTTAAGGATAGAACAAACCCACCGTTGAAAAAATAAATGGGAATTTTCTGTTTGGAAGGCATTTTGTTTGCCGTTTAAATTGAGATGCTAACTATTGATATGATCTCCATGTTACTACAGTCAACAGTGTATTGTTGTTTTTAATGTATATGAAAAAAAAATAAAGACCTTAAACCTTTATAATCGTAAATACTCTTTTTAAGTAAAACTGTGCTACTGTACTTTATACAGTATATATTTTTAATCAATTAGCCTTTTGTGGCTAGGTGTACATATTTAGGAAATCGTAAACTAATAGATCTAGTTTGATTTTGATTTCTAACATTTTTTACAATTTTTCAGGCCTTGGTTTGGACCAATACAAACGATATGACCCAAAGGTGAGTTTATTATGTATGTTATTTAACATAACTAACAATCTGTATTTTGTATTTAAATTGTGTTTTTTAATTTTGACTAAAGATAAAATTATTTTTGAACAGTGAGTTTGAGAAATTTTTTGGTTTGTTTTTTGACCAATATTTTTTTCCTCACTTTGTGTTTTATATTGTTTTTTACATTTTAAACTTTGTTATCAGTTTTGTGTTTTTTGGTTTTAACATTGTTGTAACAAAAGTTGTAACATTGTTGAAAAGTTAAACTATGTGAAGCTTTGCAGTTTAAGGAGGCATTTCTATTTCACCTGCCATTTCTAACATATAGCCTGATAAGATGTAAAAAAATATTTTTCCATAATTTGTTACCCGCTCTTGTTAAGTAAATAAAGAAAGTTTGACTAAGCTACCCTCAGCAAATATGTTTGTTGTTTATGAGTTAATGTTAATGCATAAACATGTTATGCACATAACAAACAATTGTATTCCTAAAGTTTTATTCATCTTATTAATATCTTATAATTCTTGAAAACGAATGAAAATGAAACAATGAAAATTAACTCTCTTAGCACTCTTTATTATAACATTCAGATAAAAAAGATTGCAATGACAAATTCTATTCTAAAAGTTTTTTAAAATTGTAATATTGTATTATTTCTCATCAAACCATGACATATTGAATGGTCTGTTGCTGCCTAAATAAATTGTGATTAAAATAAAAATAAAATAAGATCATGTTTTTTTTATTATAATACTTTAGGTTTACATTGTTGGTTAGTTTTTATTTGTGAGATAAGTTATTGCGTAAAATCTAATAAGTTGGTGTTAAATGTATCATATCAAGCTGAACAGTATAATAATTTTCATTTATTTAAAGCTCACTATAGACATGGAATTCGTGCTTATTTTTAAAGAATGTTAACTTTTCATCCATATTAATTTTTTTAAATTATTTTTTATATTATAGAAACAATATCAGAACCGGTATATTAAAGGATATCTTGCTCCTCATTGTAGGCTGTAGAGGAAATATTTTTTGTCTAGTGTGAGTGAAATAAAAAAAATATTTAGTGAATGATTCAGTTGTTTTAAATATGGGAAATTACTTAAATGTTATTAATTGAGTGTTAAATTGCACTGTTTAACCAAGTAACTTTGTCCTGTTAAACTAAATTGTCTTGTAAAAACTTTCTATAACCCTCCAAGTAGTTTTCCTTTTTTTTTATTTTTTAAGTATTTTCAACATAAGGTTAATTAAAAGCCATTTACAAATTTAACCTATATTGACCTCCTAATTGCATCATTATTTTTTATTTGATTTCTATTATATTTTCTTTCATGTAACACGATAAACATATTAACTTTTAGTTTTAAATTGTGATAAAAAAATAATAATTTCAAATCACTTATTTTGTAAGTTATCTATTCAAAATGTTCATTTTATAATTGAAGGAAAAGCTGAAAGAAAATTTTAAAAGACTACTAGACTAAACTCAATTAAAAGTTCTCTGAATCACAAGGTAAAAAAAATCAACGCTGTAAAAATTCTATAAAATTACTAAGAAGTATTTTAACTGTGATTTAGTAGGCTACTATGACAGTATTAAAGTTGTCCAATAATTTTAAGTAGTAATATTTAGTACTTGGAGGGTTGTACATTAATTAATACAAGTTAATAAACCAATTCCAGTGATAAACTTAAAAGTAAAGTAAATTTGTCTGTGGAATGGTTGTTCTGTTCGGTCTGTCTGCATAACACGCTTTCACTAGAATGTCTGCTGTATTATACATATATGTTGTATATATAATTACTGTCTACTTTGATGTTTTTCAATTGTTTTATCACAATTCTATTACAACTTCAAAACTCTTTTGTAATAATGTGCAATTTATATTTTCAAATTATTTCTGTTGATTCTACTCTTGAATTTATCACACTGATTAGACATAAATTAAATTACTTACCACTTTTTATACTAAACTCAAGTTTTAATATAGATAATTTTAAACGTTTATTTTTTCTACACTGAGGTCTTAGTGTTTATAGACCATTTTATGGAAAACATCACACAGTATGCCTAAACCCTCATTAATCATGTCTCCATTAACATGGAATTCACATCCAGATTCAAAAAGCCATTTAACAGTGTATACAAATTCCATACTTCATGTTTGGAATGTAGACACATTTAAACTACACAGCCTTATTGCGTCGTTTTCTGATTAGAAGTGCATTCTCGTCACTTTGCATATTAGGGCAACGGTGTTGGTGGATAGAGAGCCCCGAGTAACTATGCCATTTTCATGATTACTGTTAGCCATAAAATAAAATTAAAAATGTATGTACTGTAGAACGTCGATAATGTCAAAACACTGGACCGTCAATAATCCAAATTTGTCTCAAGGAAGAAATACAATTTTGTACCTTTTTTAATTTAGCTGTAAAAAAACTAACCACTATCACAGTAAAAAGCCTGTCATACATTTTTTAAAGCTCAAATTTGTAGTGTGGGATTTAATACACAAAACACCTGTAAATTAAATACAAAACAGTGCTTGAACATAAAATATTATTGAAATTCATATCTCTTTTAGACTCTGTGCTGTACCTTTAATAGAAAATATACAATTAAACAGTTTTTTACTCAAATTGTGCATGTTGGCCATTTTTGAAAGTAATTTTGATTATCCAAATAATTTTATAATCCGGTTGGAGTTCGGTCCCGAATAACCCAGATTATTGACGTTCTACTGTATTACATTTAATACACTGTATCGTCTTTTCTTATTCTTTGTTTTAAAATACTGAATACGCTATCAATCTTTTTTGTTGTTTAGGATTTTTAATTGTAAGTGATACCTAAACGGTTCTGGCATAGATTGTTCTAATCAATGTTAAGCCTATTGTATTTAATCTAATTTTCATAAATCCAAACAATTTGGAATCCCTGCCAGATTAATCAGGGTTTGCTGTCATTCATGTTGGCCTATAGTTGTTCATACATTAATTCAAATTGAAAAACAACTGCAATTTCAAATAGTTGATTTAGATAAGGAACAGATACGACTTATATCTAAATCAACTAGTTTCTCAACACCATTTCCACAATCCACATACACACCAATGTATTTACTCTACTAATCCTTATTCACACAGCTGGTTTACTAATATCTGTTCGCGTCCGTTCTGTTCACAGAATCATGATGAGGTACTTCCTATCTCTTTCACTCACTCTGGTTACTTCTTATTCTTCTTCTTTTACTCCGCTTATGCATCTTGTTTCAAATTTATTCAAGCACACTGTGTCTCGCTTTTAACTTTAAGTCGTTTAATTTGCAGAACACGATTATGGCGAGAGCATTTTTATGTTAAGCTTTAAGGAAAGATGTAGAAATAGATGGTAGTTTCTAGTGAATTAAATTTATTTTTGGAGTCGGTGTTAAACTGGTGGCGTTTTATCCTGTTTAGTTAAAGCATGAGATATGTAGATGGTAGCGTTATAAAAAAAGGACAAGATCTAAAAATGTAATCTTGCGTAGAAGTTTTATACTATAGTTAAATCTCAAAGCAAAACTCACAGTATGCGTTTTTTCTGTTTATTAGGTCTTCTGAATTCTCTTGTTTGTATTATACGTGTACAGTCTATAATGTGCATAACCCCCTTAAAAATATACAATACCCCAACAAATAATTTATAATTGTATCACAGATAACCGATGTACAGAATGCAGTGGATTTAGCTTAGTTTGTAACGAATCTACACACTCCATTTATTATGTTTTGCATTTTACCAAACCTTATTTCTCTACACTATCACAGAGTAGCTGAACTGATTACAAGTTCAACTCCATTCTATGTGCACAAAGCATTGCCTACAGCTGGTCCAAATTGAATGTACATCCTTAGTACTTAAAAGACGATGATAACAAAAATTAAAAGGCAGTCATTGGTCTTCTTTTAAGCCAATATTGTAAAAATACTATTCTCAAAAAGTGAAAAATATTTTTTGGTTTTAGCACTATCTAATTGAGCAACTTATGTTGAGTGAAATCCTAAAAATTAATCTAATCACAACACCTCTTTTTACATTATAAAAACTAAAACTCCATTAAATGCTTCATGTTTACTTACTGTTAAAAAATTATAAACAGTTGATAACACTTGATCACTTCATTATCTTAAATTTAAAAAATTAAATTTAAATTTGACCAGAATCACCTGTTTGGAATACATTATTATCAAAAACATATTATAATGTTAATCAATACTTGTGATTTTAGGATCTTCATGAGTGTGATTTTTCAATTAAGGTATTTTCAAATATCAGTTTGGCTCTGGACACGGTTGGGTGATTTTCTGCATTTGGGGTTTGATCACTCGAAACTCTGATTTGAGAATTTCCCCCTTTATTGTAGAAGAGTGTCATTAAATTGTTAGAATGTTATGACTATTCAGGTGCATGCACAATTTGTCTATGTTATGTTTGGCTGCATGATTTCTGTCCTGAATGAGAGTAATGTATATAAACAGCATGATACTAAAGCACACAGAATTATGGAAATATTTTATAAAACAATATTTGTCCAAAAGGACATTAGATAGAAGAAAAATATTAATCAGGGCATTTCTTTCTTACATATTTTGGGTGATGTCATATGTTTGTTGTTCTTTAATATTTATTTAGTTATTATTAAGATCATCTGGAGATTGTTTTTGTATTGTATTTACAAATAATTCAGTTGGTAACATTTTATTCCTAAGATAAAAATTGTTAATCAATATAAAACTTCTTTATTTGACATGGTGGCAGCGGTTTAGTTTAAAAAAAAAAATGCCAAAAAACAATAGATTATCAATCAGAGGAAACAAATCAAATCAATCATCAGAAACACATAATGTTCTAGAACCAAGACAGCAGCAAAATAGGACTACATCAGTCATGTTTCAACCTCCTGAACCTTTTGATTCAAAATATCCAGAATTATGGGAAAAGTGGTTTAAGCGATTTGAAAGGTATAGAATTGCATCAGGACTGGACAATGAACCTCAAGTAAAACAAGTAAGCTGCTTAATTTACTGTATGGGGCCTGATTCTGAGGATATATTATCAACAGCACACCTCTCAGAAGATGACAAAGCCTCATATGAATCTGTAACAGAAGCCTTTGACAACATATTTACTGGCAAAAGAAATGTCATATACGAACGAGCAAAGTTTAATTCAAGATCACAACAACCAGATGAATTATTTGATACATTTCTGGAAGACATAAGCTCAATGGCCGAACACTGTTCATTCAAGAACCTTAAAGCAGAACTAATAGGCTACGTGATAGAATTGTAGTGGGTATAACTGATAAACGTTTATCGGCCCAATTACAAGAAGATTCAAATCTTACATTGGAAAAAGCAGTTCAAAAATGCAAACAAAAAGAGTCTATCAGCAAACAAGCAGCTGAACTAGAAATGATATGCCAAGGAAAACATGCAGAAGTTGACCGAATCAAATCAGACCAAAAACAAAGTGCAAGATTTAACAAAACCCATGATTTAAAGACAGCTAGGAAAGAATGTTGTTGGAACTGTGGAGGTCCAATGCACCCCAGGCACTTATGCCCTGCTAAAGATTTAGCATGCCATTACTGCCAATAAATCGGTCACTTTGCCAAACATTGCAGAAGCAGATTATTAGAGACTAAAACAACGGACAACACGAAGAGACTCAACGAAATAAGACGTTTGGACAAGCCTGACAACACTGAAGCTTCAGTAGCATATTTAGGACCTGTGAATGCTTCATGCTATGACTCCAGTTCTTGGTATGTAGAAATATTTATCAATAACCAGTTAGTTAAAGCGAAACTTGATTCAGGCGCAGAAGTTACAGCCATTCCTTCAAATGTAATTCATGCAAAACTTATGAAATCTGACCGTATACTTAGGAATGCTGATCAGAGGGAACTAGATGTAAGAGGTATGTTTATAGCAGACATAGCTTACGATGGGAAAATGGTAAAAGAAAATGTGTATGTTGTTGCAGGATTAAATGAACCTTTACTTGGAATTCCTGCGATTAAATCTTTAAATCTCATAACCCTCAGAAAACCTGATACTGCAGGACTTAACTCAATTACCTTAGACTCTGTATTAACTAGCCACCCTGAGCTTTTCATTGGTCTGGGTAGCATTCCAGGAGAATATAAGATTGAATTGAACGAAAACGCTCAACCGCACTCGGTTCGAGCTCCAAGAAACATATCAATTCCTTTACGTTCAAAAGTGGAGACAGAATTGAACAGAATGTTGGACTTAGGAGTGATAGAAAAAGTAGAGTCTCCAACTGACTGGTGTGCACCAGTAGTACCAGTACTCAAGCCCAATGGTAGTCTACGTTTGTGTGTTGATTACACTGAACTTAATAGGAATGTTAAACGGCCAAAGATAATACTACCAGATGTAGAAGAAACACTAGGGCAAATTGGGCGCTCTAAAATATTTTCAAAACTAGATGCCCAGTCAGGGTTTTGGCAGATAAAAATATCACCTGACACAGCTAAACTAACTTCTTTTATTACTCCATTCGGAAGATTTTATTTCAAGAGATTACCCTTTGGCATTACAAGCGCACCAGAGTTTTTCACTACACAGTTGTTTAAACTTTTAAATGGTATCGATGGGGTATTATGTCACATGGATGACATACTTATACATGGCCGAACACAAGAGGAGCATGATTACCGGCTCACTCAAGTATTAGATCGCTTAAAAAAAGCAAAGGTTGTACTGAACAAAGAAAAATGTTCTATTTCCCAAACATCTGTGAAGTTTCTTGGAAACCTGATCGACTGTGATGGTATCAAGGTCGATCCTGATCGTATACGAGCACTCGAGGAACTTCCCCCTCCTAAAGATATTGCGGGAGTTCGACGATTAAATGGTATGTTGAATCAACTGAACAAGTTCATTCCAAACTTAGCTGATAAAACTGAATCATTCCGTGAGCTTACTAGAAAGAATAGACAATTTTGTTGGACAAGTCAACATCAAGAAGCCCTTTCAGACATTATACAGACCGTCAATGAATCAATATCTTTAACTAAGTATGATGTAAATGCTGAAGCTATTGTTATAGCCGATTCATCAGCATATGGATTGGGTGCAATGTTACTTCAGGTTGAAGATAAATCTCCCAAAGTAGTGATGTTTGCTTCAAGGACCTTACAGGACTGTGAAAGACGATATGCCCAGATAGAAAAGGAAGCTCTTGCATGTGCATGGGCCGCAGAAAAGTTTTCTAAGTTTTTAGTCGGAAAAAAATTTAGAATCCTAACAGACCACAAACCATTAGTTTCGCTCCTTGGAAGCAAAGACCTAGACACAATACCAGCTAGGATTCAGAGATTCAAAATGCGATTGATGAAATTTGACTACTCCATCAAACACATTCCCGGAAAAGAAATGTTTACAGCAGACACATTAAGCCGAGCGCCGATCCCAGATTCTACAGATGAGTTCACAAAAGAGGTAGAGGCACACATTAAGGTAATATCTTTAAACTTTCCAGCAACACAGTCAAGATTGGAACAAATAAAGAATGCCCAGATCCTGTGTGAAGAATGTCAGATGTTGGTGAAATACACAGAAAATGGATGGCCTAAATATAAGAAGGATGTGCCAGAGAGTATGAGAAAGTGGTATACCTTTAAAGACGACCTATCTATAATAGAAGACTTGATATGTTATAAAGAAAGAATTATTATCCCATTTGAACTTAGAAAAGATATCATTAATAAACTGTACGATGGTCATTTCGGGTCTACACGCACAGTCCTCCGAGCGAAACAATCTGTGTTTTGGCCAGGAATTACAACAGAGATACATAACTTGATTGAAAATTGTGACACTTGTGCTAAACACCAAAACCAAAAGTCAGAAAAAATGATTCAATCAGACACTCCTGACTATCCATGGCAAAGAATTGGCTGTTGTGGACTATTATTCACGGTACTTGGAAATGATAAATGTGTCCACAATGACTGTAGATGAACTAATCAAGAAGATGAAAGCCTGTTTTGCTCGATATGGGATCCCTGAAATCGTAATTTCTGATTCTGGCTCACAGTTTACAAGCTCAGAATGGAGAGCCTTTGCAGCCGATTTTGGGTTTAAAGCTATTTGTTGTAGTCCCTTACACCATCAGGCAAACGGTGAAGCTGAAAGAGCAGTCCAAACGCTTAAAAAGATGCTTACAAAGAACAAAGACCCCACTCTTGCATTACTGGAGTACAGGTCAACACCAGGTCCATCAGGGTACAGCCCTTCGGAATTGTTGATGGGAAGAAGACTAAGAACCTGACTACCGTCATTGACGAAAGATCTCAAGCCTAAAATGGTAGATCACAAGACATTTAGAGAATTGGACAAACTATATAGAGCAACTCAAGCAGATTACTTCAATAAACGGCATGGAGTGAGAGATGAAAAGCAATTCACTATTGGATGCAACGTGTATATTCCTGATAGGAGAGAAGATGGGAAGATAGTTAATAAAGTAGCTCCAAGATCATACACAGTTAAGACAAACGAAGGCATGTTACGTCGCAACGGGGTAATGCTAAGACAACTACAACCCAAAACATCTGATGACCCTGGAACTGAGCCTAATTGTTTTTCCTCATTTGGTAGACAAATAAATCCACCAAGAAGAACATGTCTTTAAAAAAAGGGAAGAGAAGATGTCATATGTTTGTTGTTCTTTAATATTTATTTAGTTATTATTAAGATCATCTGGAGATTGTTTTTGTATTGTATTTACAAATAATTCAGTTGGTAACATTTTATTCCTAAGATAAAAATTGTTAATCAATATAAAACTTCTTTATTTGACAGGTGAAATAATTACTAATTTGTCTTAAAGATTGGCTAAATCTGGTACGTGATTTGAAATGGTTAGCAAGTTCTTTGAATGATTTGTCTCTTTAACTTTTGGAGGTTGTCTTTTTGTAAAGAGATTTTCAATCCTGAGGAAAGCTTTTGACTTTTGCTGCTTTGAAATTGGACCCAGCTGTCTTTAGTTTATGAGCTTTCAATTTAAGCATTTATCCAAAGCATCAGTTGGTCTTAGTACTGATAGAAATAGTATATATCATCACTAGGGCGTAAAGTGAATCTTATCAACCTGAGCTCAACAGAAAATGAGTAAAGGTTGAAAAGACCCTTTTCCCCCTTGTGATGAACTATATGTTTTTTCATATTACAACATTAACAAACTCAAGTTAGAAAACAAAAATACTTTTCATGTAAAGATAACCTCTCAAAACGACTTCCAACTTATTTTCAATTTTGCTAATACAGTACCCAGGGGTGCCCACAAGGGGGGGGCTGTGACGCAGACTGCGTCATTGAAATTCTTGGGGGGGGGGGGCTCAAAAAATTCAAATGGGGGGGGGGTGGCTAAAGGTAATTGCAACAGTGTTCAACGTGATGACAATCCAAAATATATTACGAAGTTGTGGTTACGTTTGGACCGCCTATATCAGCGCCCCCAAACGTGAAAATATCACTTTTATTTCAACCATGAATATATTGTAGTTTAAATTAACTAATATGGGAAATTACGATGTACATTTATTCAATAAGGGTGGGTAATTATCAAGGATAGAACTGATAACGGTATGGATAATAAACATTGACAATTACGTCATTAGCTTTACTAGCGTGTTTACTTTTTATATTCCTGCTACATGTGACCAGTTCTTTTTTCAAATGAATGTTATTTGAACCAAACAGCTGTTTCAAAACAAACTGTTATTGTTTTTACTTTTCTTTGTTTACACTTATTTATTTAGCAATTAATGCAGTGAAATTGATTTAAAGGATAGGTGTGACGATTAGTTTTGATTTTAGGACACCAAAGTTAAATTATGTGTACTGTGAATTTTATTGGATATTATCGTTTTATTCTAGGTCGTTTCTATTCAGACCTACTGGAAATTGTGTATAGTAGTTGTATTGTGGTGATAATAATTATGGAAGAGGCAGGTATGCTATGGAAGGCGGTATCGTTGACTAGGTCTATACACTTCTCAATTGACTATTACTCTCTCTACTGTAGGCTACTTATAATCAGTGTATCAGTGTGCGTCTGTGCGAATCGGCTGCAAATCTCACTTCAACGCTTTTCACATCGTAAACATTGCAGAATTGCTGTTTTATTGTAAAATTGTCTGATTTAAAATGCATATCGTATAGGCCTATGATGGAATAAAAACATATTTGGTCACACAACATTTGTTTACAAGATTATTTTTCACATTAAAACTGCAAGAAACTTTGTCTTTATATGTGTAAACTAGCTGATCTGAATTGTACACGGTTTTAACTGACTACTGAATTCCCGTACGTAGGACGGGCTTACACCTCGTTATTGTAAATTTCAAATCATTTATCTTGGTTCAGTTGTCCAAACGGCAACGTTTAAAATTATAGCTAACTCAAACTCAACTAATCACTAGCCAAACATTGCATTGCTATAAATAACGTAAATATTAAAGGAACCTTTAGAAAGTGTTATAAGGTTCTGCTCATGATAGACAGATAGGCTACCGATAGGTGCTGTATCACAGCATAGGAATTGATAGATAAGTAATAAAAAAGTGTAAAATTATATTTAGAGATAATTAAAACACTCTTAAAAAAGAATGTAACGAGAACAATCTTGTTATTCTTTTTCTTTGTTCTTTAATAGGTTTCTCTTCAATTCATACACAAATTCAACAAGTCGCCATATTTAGGCCTACTCATTGGCCAATCACAGCCTTACTAAAGTTACCATGGTTGAAAATCACTCAATCACAGTTTACTAAGCATTATATCGTCATCATTCCCCAGCTGTTGTATCTGACATCTGTTGTAACATAGCGCACATCAGACAGAAGTGTAAAACGGAGCAGACGATTGTTGGCGCAAGCGTTGTTTCCATTTCATTTTCACCAAAGGAGCTGTGATGTTTCAAAAGGGAGGGAGAGGGGATTGTTATATCGAGAAAAGACGCTGACAATTCGTTAAGCAGAGGTTACGAACGCTATATGGATATTCTGGCAATAAAAAATTCCTTAAATTGTGGTGACTTATAAAACTCTAATTTTATTTATATAGAAAGATAAGTTTTCCAGTCCTGTACAACACTGATTCACGGTCTTTTCCCTGTAATCAAAATTCAAGTACAACCTGATACACACAGAATCTCCGGTTCCCGACCTGGATGATGGCTCTAGTTATTTAATTTAATTTACAGTTACATATTAGTACCCGTGATAAATCAAACCCGTTATGTAAGCCAAATCACACACGACTATTAATCTCACTTGGTTTTGGATTTGCTTACAAACGTGATCGTAAATGGTTACAAACGTGATCGGAAATGGTTAGGGCCTACACAGTATTTGTCAACAACATTTATTTAAACATATCAGTGACAGCTAGGAAAAGGAATCTTTATCAAAACAGCTGTTCGTAATTTTGAAATTATCTTAACAGATTATTAGTATTTCATAAATTATTGATGTATGTAGTAAACATGGAGAAAATAAACTAGAAAAATCACACAAAATTGTGTTTTTGATCGTCCGTTATTTTATTTCCAAAATAGTGAGGCCATATTTTAATGGCTATAAGGACTCTCTCGCCAATCCTGTGGATACAATTAAACCATTAGAATCATAATCGGTACTCTAGTTTTCTTTAGAGTAGGCTGCATAAAATGCCTTCTGGGCCGTGACAGACGGACATAAATTGAGATAAGACTTGTTTCAACTTCTTCAATGTATAAAACATAAATAACCCAAAATATGTATAATTCTGAGCAATGTACAGACAAACCTATAACTTTATTCATATCTTCATATAGATTAACTGGGTTTGAATTTTAAATATCTAAAAAAATTATAAAACTTCTTTTATAGTTTTAAAAATAGTGCTGGGTGGGGGAATAATGTTTCTCATTTGTTGTGTACATCATTTATGGTGGGGGGGGGGGGGCTGTTGCTCAATTGGGGGGGGGCGTAGTGGGGGATGGGCACCCCTGCAGTACCAACCCAACAAGCAACTGTCTATTACAATTGTGTTAGTATTCATTATACTATCGATATATCAAACTATTGACAAGTAAGCAATAAGCTACAACCGATTGGAACAATCGATACATACTTTCTCAACTTATTATGCGGTTGCCTACAGTCAAAATCAACAACTGAGTTAACACCAGCTGACTTTTACTCCATAGGAACTAAAAATGCTTTTTACTCCCAAGGGAAAAAGAGCTGCTTTAAACCCGCAACACATGTATTGAACAGTTATTTTTGCAGTGCTGCAGTAAGACAACAAAATTAATTAAATCATTCCTGACTTGTAACTCATATTTTCATGCATATTTTGTTTACGACTTGCCTGGTTTGCCTACCCGTCTCTAAATAGTGATTTAGGATACAGTTCCGCAGAGAACCTGTGATATAATATCGGACAGATGTTGTTTTTGTGTTTGGTCAAGACCATTTAGGAATTTTGTGTAAATAGCTTAGGATTATAAACTTAATGCATGAGCTAAATGCATGATAAAAGTGATTCCAGTTTTGTTCCTATTTTTGTCTTTCCGATGTCCCTATTTGCTTTAGGTACTGATGTATTTTCTTACTAGAAATGTAAGTGTTAATAATTTATATAAAGTGGATAAAATCAAGATTTTAAACTGCAAGAAACATTTTAAACCTATCTGTAATGTCCGATTGTAAAACATAAGGCTAAAAGTGTTCAAACTATTAAAACTTGTTGATTTGATTTGATAATACATTCTGTTTTTAAAAACACTCTTTTACTTGTGTTTTTAGTAGTATATTTATGAGGCTGGATAATTTTTTTAAATTATTTTTAGTATTATCAATTATACCTATCTCGCCTAGATTAACCTAATCTATTAAGTTGCTAAACTACTGAGGCTTGGGTGATATATAGGCTAGCTTAATAAAGATGCTCAATTAATCTGTAGATTTTCTTAACGAATATTTGATTGAGAGTCTACCGTATATAATTATCAATGAGTAGTGTTGTTATACTCTGCTCACAAAATGTAGGCAGTTTGAGGGGAAGCGATTCGATCCCCTCCACCTCAACTTAACTTTGAAACAACAGCTAATTAGCTGATATAAAGATTACGCTTAACCCCTTAAACCGCTTAAATTTTGTTTACGAGCTACAGTTTACATTATGTTAGTTGAATTACCATGACTTAATATCATGATTATTTAAACCTCCAACTATTTAGAACTATGCTCTTTGAACATTCAACTAACTTTTGTCTTTGTGTCAGAACGTACACATGAAGCTGGAGTTGGCGCTAGATGAAGACAGCATATTCTACAAGTTAGGCAGTTCTGGTTTGATCACGTTCTCCGATTACATATTTCTTCTCACCGTTTTATCGAGTAAGTTTTTTTGTTATATTTTGATTGTCATGTGTATTTTTTGTTACTATATAGGCCAGTGGCATTTTGCATGAATGAATCATAAACGCTTTTAAAGGAAAACTGTGCAAACCTCTAAATATATATGGGTAACAAACATGTTATTTTACCAAATGTTTAGTGGTTAACAACTATAATACCTTTAAGAGTATTTTTTGTGTGTGTCTCTGACAAGGAGATGGGTGGAATCTTCATAAGTTGCACCTCACATTAATCGGTTTTGCAAAATTTTTACTTTCTTGATTGTTTGTTTCCAGTGTTCGCGATAAACTTAAACTAGTTTTATAAGAACTTAGTTCAAGTTCATGAGATGATGGGAGAGCACAGTAAAAATAGGTAAATGTACTCATCGGTAAAGAGTTAATAAATGAATTCACTCTTGGGGCCCAAACCCTCACAATAAAGAGGTTTGTTTAAAATCAACACACGATTGTTTGTAAAAATTACCATCAGCTCCGTTTTGTAAAGTTGTGGGAAATGCTTTGCAGGTAATTCTTAGAATTTATCAACATAAGTTTTATCACACTTTTCTTGTTTTAAGAACTAAACGTTGTTGGATTGAGTGTTTATTTCATTGTGGGAGGGTAACAGCAGGTATAATGGGATGAAAATTGGATGTACACTGTACATGCATCTGTTGGCATAAGTGCCTTAAATGCATTGCTGCACTTAAAGGAAATATTGATAAATACTCCATAATGTAAGATTCGGTAAGGATTCAAAATTGAAATAGTCATAAAAACAAATTTTATTTAATAACAAAAAGTAACAACATTAATTACTCTTGGGTTTAATGATAGGCCTATTATAATAAAACAAAATTGAAAAGCATATAAGTGAATTTGTCTTATTCTTTAAATAGTTTTAATAAATCTAACCATACTCTTTGTCACAATATACGTAAACTATCTTTAATTACCCATTGATAACAAATTAATTAAAAATTAATATTTCACAATAATATTTAGTGTAAAATAACTAAAAAGTTGAATTTTTTGAGTAATGTTAGTACAAATCAACCTTTGATTTGTTAAAATAAGTGAAAGAAAAATATTACTACAGCAGTCTTACCATGTATTGTATTATAACAGCCTAAATATTTTTCGTTATCTGTAAGACGGCATTTTGTAAAGGCCAGAACCAAGTAAATTCTTCAAAAAGCTTACAATGATAAAATTGCATTAGCCTGATACTAGTACAGTTTTTAATAAAGGTTTGTAGGAAAGTAAATTTAACTAGATTTAGGGGCGGAAAAATTGTTGGAGCATTAAAAGTTAAAACGCTAAATCCGGCCCTTGTCCTCACTCATAAAGACTTGTTGTAAATACTTTTAGAAGTTGTTATGAGCAATGTTTTTAGTAAAAAAGTGAAACTGCAGAAGTTTTTAGGAAATCAGTAACTATTTAAACATTCCGTCAAAGAATAACTTATATTTCTAAAATTTGAATTGTTGGATAAATATTGTTTAGTTTCTAACAATTATTTAACAAACATGTTATCCAAAATATAACACTATTACAAGCCTCCCGGGTAACCTGTTTTCTGCTTATATAACAATTTGATAGTTGTACATTAAGGCTTTTCATTTACCTATTTTTATACACTTTTTATAATTTATAATAACCATATAAAAATTATAACAAACAAAACCCTTAGCATTAAAATTGTGTCCTATTTTTTAACAATGTACAATATAAATTAAATAAAAAAAAAACTATTTTATATCAAACGATGACCTTAATAAATTGATCTTACGTCACCATCCATAAGCCTATTTAACGTAATCACAGCCATAATTAATTAACATTGAATTGCAAGGCATTTGTGTGTGCAAAATGGAGCGAGACTATTCTATGGAGTCATTTGAATGTGTTTACATTGTTACTTAACTATGTCTATATAAAAATGGACATCAACACAACAATAATGTTTATCTTATTTGCTAAACAACAATATTTGGTTACTACTACAGTATTCTAACAATATCAAGAGATTAATAATATAAACAACTGGTAGGCCTTTACCAGAACCCCCTTTTCCGAGGAATTATTGATTCTCATAATTTTCAACCACTTCCAAACGCTTGCTGTGCTTCTGTTACAATTCAAAGTCGCCAGTGTTGTTGTATTTAAATTATAAATATGGTTACACTTAATTTACATCACGATAAATGGGTTTATTGCCTTTTTAACTGTTATATTTTACTTTTCGTTTCGTACTCTCATTTATGTTCCTTTGACAATCTGTTTTTTTGTTGTGTTCCATTTGGTTGTTGGTATAGTCTCTTAAATTGGTGGGGGGGGGGGGGGTTCTGTAAGTTTAAATTAATAATAGTAAATGGTAGTAAGTTTTTCCTTCCTATATACTTGCTAAATTAAATTGACAAAAGTACAGTCGAAAACAAATTGTTTTCAAATTATTGCTTAATAACACGTTCAATTAATTATTACCGTTGTGCTATAGATCACAGACCTTTAAATCAAAATCTTTAAAGATCTTTGGCTTGAATCAAGTAATGATTTTACGTCATCAATTCTGCAATCTTCTTTTGTTTGTGCTTGCACGAATACACTTATGTGCATTAATTGTTAAAAATCAACTTCATGATTCTAAAAATCAAACTTGTGAATTCTTACTAAAACTATATAAATATGAATAAATTGCTAACATTAACATAGTAATTAATTGAGGAGTAGTATATAATTGACTTAACAGTTTTCAAAGTAGGCCTACAAAAATACTGTATTCTAAACCAATGTAAGAATATGCGATTAAAAATTATACAAATCATATTATAAAATGTAGCCTACCTTAACTAATTATTTTTAAATTAAATTTTACTGTTTTCACATTCTCTAGGTTGAACATTTTGTCTACGATTCTCAAATACATTTAGCTCATTTACCCTTCCTTGAATATTTTTTTTCAATACCCATTTAGTTGTCAATGTAGATATTGTCCACAAAATGCAAACTTAAAATAAATTTTAAAATGATATACCATATATTTTTCTTTTATTTTATTTGATTTACGTTTATTATCATATTTTTCAGATTTTTCCGTTGTTTTATGTGTTTGTTTGGGAAAATTGCCATTAAAAATCTAAATTAAAATTATACCCAAAGGTGTGATATGTACCTCTGTACACATCCACACAGACAGACCAAATATATCACCCCAAAAACCGCTTTTTTGGCTTCAGGGGGACCTAAAATGGATATATCCACCCAAAACTCAAACTCAAAAATGTTTACAAAAACAATATGCTGTAGGGGAAGAAAGTAAAACTTGGCTACAGCAGGTCCATTAAGATGGGATGTCTACTTCAGGGTGAAATCCAGTTTTATCAGACCATGTCGTAATACTGGCTGGAGTTGTAGCCGAACATTTCGAAGTCCATTGTGTACATGTGGACCAGCCTATGTACCAGCTCTCTGTTCAGCTTGCTATAGTACTTTGCTACAAGTTCCGACGTGCGAGGTCCCTCGTTCGCTCGGTTCTGCGCTTGCATCCTCCCGGGCGTCAGGATGTCCGATATGCCTGCCTTGTTGATTATGTATTGTTGGTCTCGAGAAAGAGTCTCCATCTGGAAAAAGTTGAATGGATATAACTAGATATTTTATCACTTTAACATTTCCAACCAGTTTAAATTAAACATAGTTGAACAAATGTGCTGATGTCACTGATTCCTGTTGTCTACACCAACTTTTTAACCTCAAAATGTTTGTAGTCTAAAAAAAGTAAGAGAGAAAATGTAATTTTTAAGGAAGCTTACTCTATGAGTGGCTCATTTTACTATACCTATTCCATTTGAATAAAAAATTTGCTCCTGCTGATCCATATAAATGGAATGTCTGTCCAGGTATCTTAAAATTGGTTTTATGTACTTTGCAAAAATATCATTGACGTACTCACTAATGAGGGTTTAAAACTCGTCCAATGGTGAACCTTTGCAATCCAAAAGATTATATTGTCTGAAAGTTGTATTGTAAGAAACTGTGTAGTGGTCACTATATTTGGACAGTAGCTGAAGTAATGGTTGCACCGGTTGTTTTTATAACTTGAGTGGCCCGACAACTGAAAAACCAATCAAACACTTCGAAAGCATGTATTAGTGGCCAAAACACTTAATTTTTTACAAAACTGTTTTTGATTTTATGGTTAAACTTAAATAATTCTGATCTGGCACAAAGAAAGCCAGGGAAAAACAGTTTTTCTGATGTTCCCGTCAAACACTAAATAATACAACTGACTAACCTATTACAAAGGGTTGACAATCATTGAACAATAAACTTACCTTGGCAATAACAGTGAAGTTTAGGGAACAGGGAGTACAAAACTGGTAGATCGGAGCCCAATGTTCATCCGCACGGCCGTGTGACTCGGTAACGTAGCGAACAAACTCCTCAAATGTTGGTCCAATGTGATCCTCCTTAGGAAGTTTGCCTCTGAATCTAACAATGATTGCTCTGCAAACCAAGGATGCTCAAATGTACTATTATTACTAGTTTACTCAGTCTTAATCATACAAACTAATAGTTGATACAAAATGTGTGCAATTAATACCAACTCAGTGCCGCAATGAACAGTGTCAGTGTAGTTGTTGGCGACTGTGTCACAAAAATGTAGGCAGAGTTCATACCAAAACTTAAATATTTTAAGAGATTAGATGAACAATAATAATTACTAATCACACACAGCACAACAAGGCTTGTCTGAGCATTATGCTACAAATTGATGTGGAAGTCATAAGCTATTTAGCAGCTTAAAAACCAACAGATCAGATTGTATATCTGATTTATTGAGCTATATGTAATGTAGAGGGGGGAATCTGCTGGACTGCTACTAAGCTATTAGAAAACATAATTGTATGTGAGATAAATTCAGGATGAGCTGTTTTTATTTGATAATTTTTGTTGATGATTAGGTCCATCTAACTAGGAGTGATTGGAGAACTTTCTCATAGACCGTTGGGCAATATTATCATAATTGTGTGTTCTTACTACAAATCTACATCTGAGTGAACTCGGAAGTGTTTGAAATTGTGTACCTTGCAAGTCGCTTGTAGTACTGGGAGTGAACTCGTTCGATCTTGTTGCGATACGCAGACAACAGTCGGTGAAGGGGGTCTCGTGCGATGAGGAACGACAGTGAGGTCGGCCATGACGCAAGCAGCTGTGACACGGAGGGTCGAGGGAACCGAGACCTCATCAGAGTTATCGGGTTCTTGTGCGAAACTCTGAGAAAGTTCTCAGCGAATCCTCCTGTCAAGAAGTTACATGCGATATCAAACTTACTAGTAGCGCTTTTTAATTGATAAATTAATAGATAATTGCTAGTGTTTTAAAACATGTAGGCTACATAAAACAAATTTTGTAAAAAGGGTATTAGTGTTAAAAAGTGTCAGTGAGTTAATGGAAATACTGCCCTATAATATGCTTTTATGCTAAATACTGTAGTTTATATTGATGTATCCGTGCAGAATTTCCTCAAGGAAATCTGGATTGGTTGTACGGCGTACATAACAGTACTGATTTTTGAGTGTCTTCTGTGTTAATATTTCCCATTCACTAGATAAGCTTTAACCTGTTTTAGGTCTTGAAAAATAGTTATGTCCCAGCCAATTGTTATTATACAATTCCGATTAAAAGCAAGACTTGTAAAAAACCAGCTTTTGTCCTTATCTTAAAGTCGCCATTCCAGAACATTCAGTGATAACAAACAAACTTGTTTTTTTAAGGACACCAATATTTTCAATCGGTTAAACAGTTAAACCAAAAATGCATCACACAATTCGTCTCAAAATCATTCCTGAGTTCTATTTAAAACTCCTCTGTCCACCTTCCAATATGTAACAGACATTTGTAGTTGATGAGAGTACCGAGAAGGTTGAAGTTGTGCATCCAAGAGGAGCTCGCAGCTTTAAACACATTGCACCAGACGAGGTTATGGTGAGCATCAATCACAAACTCCCAGGCGTTTGGTGGTAGTCGGGGCCACGCATTAAGGCACGCCTCCTGAAGTGTGAGGCGACGATCGTTCAAATCTCGCTCTACCAGTGTCCAATCATATCTGTCTTGCTCCTTCACCTAAATGTGCATAAACAATGTTTCAGTTATGTCAGTGGTTGAAACGTAAAACTTGTTAACATTGTTACTTTTTAAAGTTGTTCTAGTTGTTGGGTATTTGGAAAGTAGTGTTTTCCAAAATGCATTTTATTTATAGAAAAGATTTTGCAAGTTAACCTCTTTAAATCTATCCATAGGCCTATATTTTTACTATCTAGTCTCAGAATTTTCAGAACAGGAGTTCACTCACTGTTTTGCTCATTTTTACACTAGTACAGCAGATTACAAGCTGGAGAAATGATATGTTTTAAAGCCATTAAGAGTAAAGTGAGAAATGGATTAGGAATTAACAGATCGAAGAGTCGCAGTAAGCATAATAGGGAGGCTATACAATTTAAAATGCAAGACTAAGATGGTCTTTATTTTAATAATGTTACGTTGTATTATGTAACATAGTAAAATGTAACATAGAATAGTGTTACATATAATAATACCCCGCCACAGCAAACCTGCAGGAATTCATTCAAGTTTATCCCGCCTTACATCTTAAAACCTAATTTAATCAAAATTGGACAAAAATTACTCAAGTTACGTCCACATACGTTATATGTACGTCACGGACGTATATATATAGGCTATACATAAAAATTATTAAAAACTGGTAGAATAATGTTTTTGGCCTCTGGGGACATCAAAATGAAAAAGTATATCAGTCCCGGCTCCAGGTCTTACCGTGTCACCTACAATAATAGCTACTTCCCCATAGTATAATGTTACAAAGAATAATTTTACATATTATAATGTAACATAGTGTAATGTTAGTCTATCATCTTTATATTAACTTCAACATCTGTTAACTTAACCTCAATACAGATTCATACTTTTATCGATTTCAACTCTAGTTTTCTATCAATCTTACATGTTTAGTCCTGTTTCGTGTGGCGAACGTGATCGTTGGTCTGGTCGGTTTGGTAGAGGGTAGTGTAATGTAGGCAAAGTAGCAATAGACTATTGTGAAACTGAAGAAAAGGACAAACTTGAAGAATGCGCTCAACTGGAAACATCTTCGAGATCTAACTACCATCCCTGTAACATGTAACTGTTGTTTGTACACGTGGCTTAAAATCACTGACTCGATTTCCACAGTGAAAATATTTCTGAAGAGTCAATAAGATGTTTTGTGGACAAAATACTGCAAGCGCAGAATAAATAAAAAGATCAAACGATAAAACAAAATATATTCTTTCTACTGACCCCTTAAAAAATTGATTAATTTTAACCTTAAAGGACTAAAATTAATCAATTATTTTTTGGGGTCTAATTGGTTGATTTTAAACTTTTCTAATAAGAAAAGAACCTTAGAATGTTTTTATTAAAAGTGATATTTTTTAGTTTTACAAGAACTTTAAAATAATAATAAACGCCTCACTCACTTCTATGCTCAAGGTTTCCTGTGCTGTGGTAAATTTTGCAAAATTTTACAATTATTTGATTTATTTCTACATGTAGTTGTACTAGCCATGTTCATTAATTAATTAGGTATAAGAATGTTAGTAAACACTAAGAAACACATTTTTTATGGTCGTAATGACATGATCTCTTTCTTATTTAAAAGAGATTATTGCGGATATTTTCCTTCAGGATTAGTTAAAAACATTTTCACGTTTTGGGATCTGGAATATAATTCCGTCCTCGGATAAAAAATCAGAACAAGGTGAAAAATCAGGGCCGTGTATTTTTGTCTTTGTCTTGATTGTTTAAAACCGTCTTGTATAGGTTAATTTTTGAATGTTTTTGCCAATGTTACTTAAATAAAAAATAAATTGAATTACAAATTTTATCTTCGTAATGAATACAATGAAAAATAAAAACCACTACCTTACTGGGGAATGTTGCTCAAAGTCCAGTAAATTTTAAGAGTCAATGCCAATTATTAAATTATTAAATAATTTGTGTATCTCAATTGATGAAACCTTTACAAAATACTTTTTGTGGCAAACATGAAAAAGATTGTTGACCACCAAAACATTAAATTTGGTCAGTTCTCAAATCAATGAATGAAAATGTAATATGACTCACCATAACATAAAAATAGGAATGTGAAAGTGTATTTCTACGTGTAGAGGATCATAGTTTGAAGGGATTTCACATGTGTTCTAGTCCTACGGGTGAGATGCTAGGCTAGGCTAGGGCTAAGTGTGGATGCTACTGACAATGATCAATAAACCACCCTCCTATCCTCCGACTCCCTCTCACCCCCTTATTTTCCACCCATATATTCACCTACTTCAGCACACTCTGGTAGACAATCTGAGAACTTGGCCACATTTACTGTTTGTCAAATCTTGACAGTTTGTATAGTTATTCTGCAGATGTTTTAGGGGAATTTGAGTTATTATTTGTTCAAAAATAGCTTGATTACTACAAAGGTTTTTATTATTATATTTAACACGGGTATACTCAGGTTTAGATAAAGGGGGAGGGAGGTGGAATTGTTTTAATAGCTAAAATTCACAATAAAATCTTCTACTCTGGCAATTTAGAAAAAGTTACGTAATAAAAGTGTAAGTTAAGCTTTTATGGTATATTTAATGAAAACTAAATACTAGTATGTTAATGATTGTACATGTATAAATATAGTTTGTTTTATCAAAAGAATCTTCTACTTTTTGTTTGTTTATTCTTTTTTAAATGTGTCCAGTCAGCAAAATCTCGTCATCGCTTTAAATATCAGCTGACTAAAATACTATATTCTCCTTATCTTAACATTTTTCTTCATATAAAATTCTATATCATCTTTCATTACAATTCCAAGTGAGGGAAATATGTGGTAAAATTTGTCTAATATAGATAAATAATACCCCCGCCGCAGCAAACCTGCAGACTAAGCGAATTTCAACTCGTCTGATTATATTTTTACTCAAATATTTCCATAAATAAGACATATTTATTCCCTATTTAAATAACATTAGATTTAACAAGTGCTTAGGTTTGCTGCTACGGGGAAGGTAAAATGTGTTTTTTGATCATACGTGAATAGTATGGGATGAAATAAATAAATTTGCCAAATTTTATCAATATATATCCATAAACAAGTAAACTACAACAATTTTTATTTTCTCCATAAGAATAACATGGGAATTTTAAATTAAACTATTTTTTAATTTTCTCCGTGACCGTTAGGCATACAACAGCGCTTCAATATACTAAATTATTTCTTTTTTTAAGCTCTACAAAACGGTTTAGAAAGAAATTGCAAAATTTTTTGTTTTTAGGGTAAAAAATGGGAAAAACACATTTTTACCCCATAAAACCCCCCATAAACCCCTGTTCCCATGGTCCGATTATGCTGGATCGCGAACTCGTTCGAATAAACGTAGGTTTACACGTTTGTACCAAATTTCATCAAAATCGGATAATTTTTGCTCGAGTTATCGCGCTAACGGACACATATATATATATATATAAATATATATATATATATGAATTTGAACGGATGGTGTTTTTGGCCTCTAGGGACCTCAAAATGAAAAATTAGATCGGTCTCGGGTCCAGGTCTTACCATGAGTACTACGGTAATAGCTTATTCCCTATATGGGAAATTCGCTAAAAGAGAATAAATAATTAAACAGAACTGTTACTACATAGAAATATATTACATTACCATAGCCTTATATGTAAAATAAATAAATAAAATAAAAATTACCTTCTTTTCACAGCTTCTCGTAGACATTTTGAGATCGCTTTCCGCATGTTTGACCTGAACGGCGACGGTGACGTGGACTCAGAAGAGTTTGAGAAGGTTGCAACGCTGATACGGCAACAAACAAGCATTGGCAGTCGTCACCGTGACCACGCAAACACTGGAAACACCTTCAAGGTAAGTCTTCTGCAGATGACACTAAGAAATGACACAATCTTGTACTTGTTATTAGAATGGCAGTCATTTTGAGCAGAATTAAGAGTGTGTCTTGTGGAGCTTTGTTGCCGAATAAGACTAGTTTAGTCCTTTAGCCCATTAATTACCCCGTAACAATAACTGACTGCTGGGTCCAGTTTTGAACCAATTTAAAGCTACATGTCTTTATGAAGAACGATTCAGCAACCCTAAAATATTGGAAAATTTATTAGTTTAATAAAACATAAAAGTCTTCCTCAGTGTATATGATTTATAATTCTTATTCCTTCTCAAGTGAAATTTAAGCAGTTAAAATAGTATAAAGTGTTATGCCAAACAATTTAAATTAGAATTTTTATATTTACATTGTTTCAGGGAGTGAATTCAGCTCTGACCACTTACTTTTTTGGTCCAAACATGACCCAAAAGCTGACCATAGAGAAGTTCCTAGAATTCCAGGCTCAGCTGCAAAAAGAAATCCTTAGTTTGGAGGTTAGTGGTGTACTTAAAGCGATTTTCATTTGGTCGTTTTCAGCTAATATTCCAGAGCTCAAATGCTTTATATCCTGGTTTCCAGGGGCGTACATGTTTAGCTACAAATATTCTGGTTACTAAAGAAAATAATATACGGAACAGTACATTTTGCAGTTTGAAACATAGAAATGAAGAATTTGAATTTCTAAGTTGTATTAGTATTTTAGTGTGAGCTCATAATAGACGCTTAAAAGTATCACTCATAAATTATTTTGTGTTCAGAATTAGGTTAATCTAGAGATACTTTGTTGTTGTTACATTTGCTGCAGCAGTTTAAACCTATCTTACTATTAAGGACTTTAAGTATAAATTTAAAACTTCTATCACTTCCCTAAATACTGTATAAATCAGATTCAAATGGAATATATGTTCTTTAATCATATCAGTTTCTACAATAGTTTAAAATAATTATAGTCACATTACAACCAACTGCATGACACATTCCTCTGTTCTATTTTACTTCAAAGCTTGAATAAAGTTTTTACTTTTTATAATTTGATTATCAAACTGTGCCATGTGTTTTCTAGTTTCAACGCAAGAACCCAGATGAGAATGGAAACATCTCAGAAGGCGACTTTACTGAACTTCTATTGGCATATGCTGGCTACGCACCGAAGAAGAAAGCAAGAATGCTGAAACGAGTAAAGAAAACGTAAGTATTAAATTGTAGTCATTATCAATCTCAAGACTTTTTAAACAAAATACATGTATGTATGATTTTTTTAATTTTTATAATTGGGGTTTTCTTTACTCTAACAGGGCTGTATGTTTTACTTGAGCTTTTAGTCTTGGACCAGAGATTCAAAGTAAATATTATTTTATATGATCGTTCTGAAGTTCATGTCTAGGTAATTCCCATTTTTCCAAAATCCTTAATTTACAATAGCTTTTTCCACAGATTTCGAGAGAACGCCCAAGGTATCAGCAGAGACGACTACCTCAAGTTTTTCCACTTTCTCAACAACATCAATGACGTGGACACAGCCCTGACGTTCTACCACATCGCGGGTGCATCCATAGATCAAGGTCAGCTTAGATTGTAATGTTTGCGTGGTTAGCAATAGATCAATTACTATTAATTTTCTTCATCTTCATCAATTTAGTAGCTCCAATTTCCCTAATGTGTTCTTCAGTGTTTCCATCCTCGTTTCTCTAAATAAAAATCCTCTTCTTCTGCTTGCTGAAAATATTTTTTTTTCAGCACCATGTCCTCTTTCATGTTTTCTTGCCATTTTTTGGTAATATTGTAACCCTTCTCATTGTATACTTCTCTTGATTCAGATGTTTGCCTACCTCATCTTAATTATATTTCATTTATAAATTATTTAATTTATGTTTTGATTAATAATGTATTTTTTTCAATAATCTATTTTATAACGGACTACAATTTTTAAAGCCCACATTTTTAGGTTTATTTAAATCATTTGCTGTCGCTAATATATAGCTTACCAGCACTAGATGATAAGATAAGGTAATAAAAATGTATTTTGACTGTTATTTTTAAAATGTAGAATGAGAATTTAAATTGACTTTATTGAAGATTTTACAATTTAGAAATATTAGATCAAATTGTTGACTAACTTCAAAAATTGTATTATGAAATAGGTCAAATGCTAAATTAAGGTGGAGTATCTTCCATGACAGGCATTTCATGTAATCTTTTGCCACTCAATGCCTATTGCCCTAAGTTTTATGACAAATGCTGGTCGCATGGTACAATGGTCCAACACATTTTTAACTAGATATTTTTTTTGGATCTTCTTACATAAGTTTCTGATATCCTTAATAAAAAACATAAATGTATATATATATATACTTCCCATAGGCATTTTCAATTCCAATGATCAAGTTTTCACAATCTATTTCTGTTTTTAGCTACTCTGAAGCATGTGGCCAAGACTGTAGCACACGTTGATCTGAGCGATCATGTTATCAACGTCGTCTTCACCATCTTTGATGAGAACAGTAAGTGGATAAGAGTTTGTTGAATCATATACTTATTAGGTTTATCAAATGTATGATTTTTAACTGATGGAATTTAGTTTGATGTCTGATAAATCTAGAGTCAAGCTTGTTATACATACACAAATTTTCAGCGAGCTTAAAATATTTTGTCCTTGTGGACTTCTCATCAATCCCCGAAGATAAACACAAGGATAAAAATCTGTGCTATAAACATGATTAAGAAAGATCTCTTCTAAATATACGTGATTGAAAACTGACGAGTTCCCCTCAACCTTGTTAGATTATGATGTTGTCACTATTGTTGAACATTATCATGATTATTAGGAGATGAATAATGTTAAAAACGTTTTAAAAATATGTATATCAAATCCAAAGTAATGAAGTACTGTACTGAGAATCAACTCAATACTGCTGGTGTTTAATATTTCAAGATCAGAATTAGCCTATGTAAATTGTGAGGTCTTAAACGTCCATATGTTTCTAGAAATAAGGCTAGCATAAAACCTCCACACTGTTACCTTTTACTGCTATACTCATGACTGTTGCTTGTTTCAGTGGACGGGCAGCTTAGTAACAGAGAGTTTGTGGCTGTGATGAAGAACAGGCTGTTGCGAGGGCTGGAGAAGCCTAAAGACACGGGCTTTGTAAAACTCATCCAATCTGTGGTGAAGTGTGCCAAGGAAGCAAGGCCGGTCCTCTTTGACATCTAGACACTTGTGTACTACTACATGTACCTCTACTGTGCTTTCTTGACACTCGTTTGTACCCTGAAAGATTACTATGTGCTCGCTTAAGCTAACCCAGCTTTAAACTGTAGGTGGGTAGTTGGATGGGTGTAAGGCTTACCTAGTGGAAGGATGTGGATTCGATTGTGAGAAAAGTCAGTAGCTTTTCGATGGTTGATTTAGGTGTGTTGCTGTTGCTAGCCAATTAGTTACCACCTTCGGTGCAAGAGGGGCAGATTTTATTCTCAGCAGGTCTACAAAACATTTGACTAGTTGAGACTGCTTTCCTTTAAAAACGTTTGTGATACCGGTACTTTCATTTAAAAATGTAAAACGGTTTAATTTTGTACAAGCTGCTATACCCGTGCTTTGCAATGGGAAGAAAATGTGACCTAGAGAGCTATTCAAGTGGTGCTGATGTGTGTTTTAAAATACAGCAACTCTATGATTTAGTTTGAAAATATAAACTGATTTAAAAGTGTAATCCTACTTTCAAACCCCTACTTTTGATGTAAATAGATCCAAAAGAACATACCTCCATACGGACACATACCTTAGCATCAATTTCTTCATATTGCTGCTTCATGAATGACATGTTTTACCATAATTCTTCAATTTTAGTCAAGCCTCTTTCCATGTAGCTTAATATATAAATTACAAAATGAAAACTTTGAGCAATACTTAAACTAAACTTATACAACCTTTCTTTAAAACCAAACATAACCCTCCTCAATCTTCATTTTTCTAGTAAATAAACAAACATTAATTTATTGCACTGACCAGCTGTTTCATGAACTAAATTGAATTATATCATTTGAACTTTGGAAATATGCCAGGGGTAGCCCTTTGGACATTAGCCTGTGGGGCAGAGCCCTTAGGAAATTCGTCCATATCAATACTTTTCGGCAAATCTACACACTCTAAGCTTCATTTTGATGTGCCATATGCCTATATTTTTATTTGGTAAATGACCTTAACCGTTTACATAAAATTTGATTGTATCACTTTAATAATATAATAGATATACAGACACTATTAAACTGGACCCAGATGTGGACCATTGGGCTTTTGATAAATGAGTCTGTAAATATACCCATCCTTCACCTTATGCAATATCAATTGAGATGGGGACGCCACCTAGGTGGATATTTTCACCCAAATATGACAATTGTCATGTCTTTCAGCACTTTATTACTCCATAAAGCGATCAAGCTATGCACTTTTAAATGTTTAAAATTTTCAAGACGTTTTAAAAAAAAACTGATTTCTCATTACCAGGTTAAGGGCTTTTAGGATTGTTGTGAGGATTAGCAGGCTTTTACCAGAATGGGAAAGAGTTTCTACAAAACTGTATACTATACACACAAACTTAAATAGTATACTGTCACCGACAATATTATTATATGGGACTCTCTCTTCAAATCAAAAATTCCTTGGTTTAAAAATTCTGCCAGTTAGTGAGTATTATAATTCATAAAATATTAGCGCCACCAATAAGTTTTGAAAATGTTAACCCTCTAAGTTGTATAATAATCACTTTAATAATAATAATTACTACAGTGGTGGTTCTAGGACCTTGTCAAGTGAAGGGGGCTACCAGGGGGTGTGGGAAAAAAGAAGGGGGTCCGGGGTTCCCCCTTCAGAAAATTTGTTATGTTTAAAGCTATTTGGTGACTTTCTAAAGCTATTTGTAACATCTGACACAACTGTTTTCTAACAAAATGGTTAGATCTGTGTCCAAAAAAAGCCGATACGTTTTTAGGACAAAATATCAGTTTTTTTCAGGTCCAGGGGGAGCTTTAGCCCCTGTAGTCTTCTCCGCAACTTAAGTAGGTACCGCTACTGCTTAGCTATTATCTCGGAGACATTATTGCTTTCACTGTCAAGAAAGCACAGTTGAAGAGTTGACGTACCTTTGTCATGTAAGCATGTAAGGGCTCGATGTATTGCGAGTAATACTTGGGAACTAAATACTTCTACCTAAAGGATAATTTATTGGCCACATCTTACATTGCATTGTATATGTTTATCTTAACTGAATTGTTACATCATCTTCTCATACCTAATGTTACAGTATGCGAATGTTTGGAGTATTTTGTATGTTTATGGGGTATCCTTATTGTTTCCCAACTTGTTAGTAAGTGTTATTTATTTTACCATAATTTATTTTACAGTAAACGTCAGTTCATCCAAATGATATATTCAATGATTTTCTACATTATGTGGAATACCAACGCAAAGCAGGCTTGTATGTCTTTTTCCTTTTTTTTGATGTTTAAAATAAAAACCTAACGACACTAAAAGATTAATACGGTTCAAATCAGTTAGTTAAACCAATACATTCATTACATATACATTAGATGTACATCCATATATAAATCCCAAAGTACCCATGAACTTTTGAGAAAACTACAAGTCGCAACCCCATAAACCATATACTTAAAAACTCGCCATATACTTATACTCTCGTCATGACGAGAAACCTTGCGCAAAACTATCCATTATTTCATAAATTGCCCTTTAAGGTCGTAATTCCTTTCTACTTTTCATTAAAATCACATTAAATACAGGGAACTTTTCATTTAAATCAGGTGTGATTATTTGTTTGTATTACTGCATTCTGTTTTGTTTATTTCAGCAACTTAACCAATCCAATCAATAGTTTTATTAATACATACTTATCAAGTCAAACGGGGTGAAGCCTGTGGGTAACAGCACATTAGGTAAACAAACATTGTGGTTGGATAAAAAAACTTGAACAACTGACACTAAAGTAGGTAAAAATTTAAAATATCTTGTATTATCAGAATGATTATGTAGAATGTATTATCAGAATTTTGAACTCATAAATAAAATATATTTTTGAACGAAACTCTGTTCACAAAATTTAGGTGGTTTAAGGGGAAGGTTTTTTGAGTCTCCCCTCCATGTTTTTAGCTTATACATCAGCTGAGCAGCTGTCGGCTGGTGTTTCAATGTTAGATTGAGGTAGAGGGAATGGAATCGCTTCCCCCCAAACCGCCTAATTTTTGTGAACGGAGTATAGTAGCAATTAACAGTCGTAAATTTGCAAAAAAAATGCATAAGTGTTTAAGCTGTACGGAGTTCTTTGTAATCAAAGCTTTAGTCCAAACTTAAACATGTATTTTTAAAGCCTAAAACTGAAAAATCTGGCCCCCCTAAGAAAAAAATCATTAATAAATAACAAAAGAAAGAAATACTTTATGTAACTTTACCACTAAAATACAATCCAAAAATAGAAAATACATCTGGATGAACTGTGATTTACTATTTCATTGTATGCTGAGTTTGTTAATGTTTCCTGTTAAGTTTTAATTGTATTAAGAAATCTGGTGTAAGCATGTTTTGCACTATGGTGTATGTAACATCCTCTATGTAAATGCATGATTATCAGTCATACCGTTCAATAAAATGTCGGATCTTAAAAGTCTAGTTAAGCTTATTTTTTTCAGCGACTATAACAGTGAGAAGTTATTTAATAATGTTGTTAAAGGTAATGTTAATTTTATTTGTATTTAACTATTTACTATCGCACAAAGTATATTATCCTGTTGCATCATCCTCTTTAAATACAATTTCTAATGAACTATCCTATATCCTGTTAAATAAATTTTGTCTGTTATTTTTTAGGTAAATCATAATTGTCCTGTATTGTTGAGTATTCAAGTGGCTTAAATCTGAGAATATAACTTTTTTTTGTTATTTTTAGGTTTCTTAGAAGCTAAAAACTTGAAACCTCTTTCAAACTGGTGTGCAGTGAGTGCAGTATGTTGATTTTATTTTTCTATTGCAAACATTCTACATTTTTAAACTCAGCCTATACCTATTGTATTAATAATTATATGATTAATATGATCAATTTCCCATTTGATTAGGACAGATAGAGGCAGTTTTCTGTTAGGAGGTTTGTATCCTAAAAAACTATTTTTGTTCAAATATTCTTAAACTTTAATAATACTTTCGTTCTGTTTCAAAAGTCAAATAATGTTTGCTATTATGGATTGTTTAAAAATCTGTGTCAGTACATCATCACAATTTTTTTTAAGGACCTATAATTCCCAAAGTTGAAGATCTAATCTAGACTAATCAGAAATATTTAAATTAGTATCCGTGAATGCATCCATTTAATAATTCCTTTTGGATTTTCATAGTCACAAAACCTAAGGGTGTTACCACTTCTTTAATTTAATTAGTAGTCAAGTTTATATTTAAGAAAATCAGTCTCTAGTTATAGTTATAAATCATCAGTATACTAACAATTTAATTTAAGTTCTGAGGTGTATTACTTCATTTACCGGAATATAATTTTTTGTTCTATTATTTGTGTTGTTTAAATTTATTTAAGTTAGTATACATAGAAGCAATCTTATTAAAATTTGTTCGTCAAATCTCTGAAGTTGCCTTTGATTACAGTACTACTCTGCCAAAAGTAATCAAATTTAACTAATAACACTAATTAAAACTTGGTTTATACCTATTTTAAAATTAATCCAGTAAATTCACATTTGGATCTACTAGTTATTGAAATCATGGAACATAAATATGATACATTGATAATGAAATTTTCAAATTTACATTTTTCCAATGTAAATTTATTTACATTAGCATCGTAGTATTTATTTATGTAGTAAACGATAATGATTACGCTTGTTAGTAGTTAAGATTTAAGATGTAAAAATTATTCATGATAAGTACAATGTTACTTAATACAAATTTTAATGTATACATTATACATTATTTATAAATGAAAATTTAGATCTTATAACTTATATTTAACTTTATTTTCTGTATTTCAGATAAGAGAAGAACTCAATGGATTGTTTGCGTGTTTCCTCCTTATATAGGCATTGAAAATTAATTATTAGCAAATAGCTATTATAATCGACAGTTATGCTGAAAATTTGTAAATAAGAATTACTTTACCCTTGTTAATGAATTTAGTGGAATAAAGATTTTTCACTATCCACAAACCCATTTTATTCTTGAGACCTGCTACAAATTTCAATTTGTGTTTCGATATGATTCTTTGGTTATTAGACCAGGCCCAAAATTAAAAAATCCCTCTCTATAAAGTGCAAGAAGCATTTCATGTAACAATTGGGGAAACAACGTTTTTAGGGTAGTTCGACCCTGCTGAGTACGAATCTGCCTGTTGCCAACGCGAAATTTTAACCGGAAGTGCGGTATCCAAGATGGCGACCAAAACTCTGTTTGCCCCATATCTTCCTTGTTAGTTGGCCTAAAATAATGGTTTAAACGTGTATATAGGGGGTTTTCAGATGCCAAGCACATTAAAACACTCAAAATTAACTTAAATTAAGTTTTGAGGGCATATCTTCCAAAATGGCGTCCAAGATGGCCGCCAAAAACTCAAATTTACGCATATCTCCCTTGTTTTTTCTCTTAAAATAATTATTTAGACGTCTGCATAGGGGTTTTCTCGGATGCCAAACACATTGCAACGCCCAAAATTTACTTACATTAAGTTATGGGGGCATATATTCCAAGATGGCACCCAAGATGGCCGCCAAAAACTCTTATTTCCGTATATATATATATCCCTTGTTTGTTTGTTTAAATTAATTATTTAAACGTCTACAAAGGTATTTTCTCGCATGTTAAATCACATTGCAACACTCATTATTTACTTCCTTCGAGTTTAGATGACATATGTTTCTAAGATGGCAATAAAAACTGCATTGTGCTTACGTGAGCTCCGTGTGTATTATTGTATTTAGTGTTTAAGACCAGTCAGATATCTATTAGTGGCTGAATATTTGCTACTATTTTTGAAATACTAATTGAAATTTAGCAATGTCAAAGTAGAAGGCAAATTGTTTAATGTACTCTGGTGGCACCGTAGATAACGCGTAGTATAACAGAACCTGTAATTAAGAAATTGTAGAATTAATTGTGTATGAAGTTGACGAATTTATCACTTATTTAAGGTGTCCAGTTATGTAAATAGATATTTATTGTAAAATATGACGATGCCATACGTATGTTTTACGGCAATAAATAATTTGATTTGATTTGATGTTATTTGAACGTTTAGTCCAACAGAACCTGTAAAAATTATTTTTTAGAACATACCTAAAATCCGCAAGAGGTGGTGCATGTAAATTAAACTAAACAAAGGTTCTTTATAACACATTAATAAATAATAGCCTAATAAACAATTTGGTGACAATATTAACAATGATACTGTACTGTTATATTGTATTGATCTTGTGGTACCACCCATCAATGGAGGTTTGTTTACTATGGGTCTCAATGGATGAAATAGATTTTTTAAAGTTTTTTTTATGGCAGCATTGTGTTGGCTGCACTGATCAACATTAATCAGCAAACAATTCTTATTCTTTTTAATATCTTATGTAGGCCAACCGTCTATAAAAGTTAGTTTATGAAGAGAAAGTAAACAATTGTATGTGTACAAAATAATTGTTAATAAGGTAACATCTTTTGTTTCCCAACAGTCTATGAAAGTTTGTTTGTGAAGAGAAAGTAAACATCTGTATGCATTTCTACGAAATAATTATTTGAGGTAAGTACAATTTGTAATCCTTAGTTTATTTTAACTTATCAATAAGGAGTTTTTGAACCATTTGTTAAATAATCACGGTAAACGCTATTCGTTATGTTTTCTCGTTTATTAAATGTGAAAATAACGTATTGCGTTTACCGTGATTATTTAACGAAGGGTTCAAAAACTCCCTATTGCTAATTTTGAATGAACTTAGGATTTAATACAAATTGTACTTACGTCAAATGATTATTTCTTAGAAATTTACAAATGTTTACTTTTTCTTCACAAACAAACTTTTATAGACGGTTGGAAAACAAAAGATGTTACCTTATTAACAATTATTTTGTACACATGTATACAATTGTTTACTTTCTCTTCATAAACTAACTTTTATAGACGGTTGGCCAACATAAGATATTAAAAAGAATAAGAATTGTTTACTAATAATGTTGATCAGAGCAGCCAACACAATGCTGCCATAAAAAAAACTAAAAAAAAATCTATTTCATCCATTGAGACCCATGGTAAACAAACCTCCATTGATGGGTGGTACCACAAGATAAATACAATATTTTAGGTATGGTCTAAACAATAATTTTTACAGGTTCTGTTGGACTAAACGTTCAAATAACATCAAATCAAATCAAATTATTTATTGCCGTAAAACATACAAAACATACGTATGGCATCGTTATATTTTACAATTAAAATATATTTACATAACTGGACACCTTAAATAAGTGATAGATTCGTCAACATCATACACAATTAATTCTACAATTACTTAATTACAGGTTCTGTTATACTACGCGTTATCTACGGTGCCACCAGAGTACATTAAACAATTTGCCTTCTACTTTGACATTGCTAAATTTCAATTAGTATTTCAAAAATAGTAGCAAATATTCAGCCACTAATAGATATCTGACTGGTTTTAAACACTAAATACAATAATACGCACGGAGATCACGTAAGCACAATAATGTTTTTATTGCCATCTTAGAAACATCTAAACTCAAAGAAAGTAAATAATTAGTGTTGCAATGTGATTTAACATGCGAGAAAATACCTTTGTAGACGTTTAAATAATTAATTTAAACAAACAAACAAGGGATATATATATATGGAAATAAGAGTTTTTGGCGGCCATCTCGGGTGCCATCTTGGAATATATGCCCCCATAACTTAATGTAAGTAAATTTTGGGTGTTGCAATGTGTTTGGCATCCGAGAAAACCCCTATGCAGACGTCTAAATAATTATTTTAAGCCAAAAAACAAGGGAGATATGCGTAAATTAGAGTTTTTAGCGACCATCTTGGGCGCCATTTTGGAAGATATGCCCTCAAAACTTAATTTAAGTTAATTTTGAGTGTTTTAATGTGCTTGGCATCTGAAAACCCCCTATATACACGTTTAAACCATTATTTTAGGCCAACTAACAAGGGAGATATGGGGCAAACAGAGTTTTGGCCGCCATCTTGGATACCGCACTTCCGGTTCAAATTTCGCGTTGGCAACAGGCAGATTCGTACTCAGCAGGGTCGAAATACCCTAAAAACGTTGTTTCCCCAATTGTTACATGAAATGCTTCTTGCATTGCCTTTTTTTGAAAACGGGCCTAGTCTATATTCCTTGTGTCGAAAAAAAGTAAATTAAGCTCTCCATTGAACCAGAAGATAAATATGTGATTTGACTATCAAATATAATATTTTCTATATACTTAAACTTATTTTGGACAAAAATGTTCCAAGTACAGGGTGGTCCACGGGAAACGGACGTATTTAAAAAAACAATAGCTCTAAAAGCTAGAAACATAAACAAATTTTATTAGTACAGAAATAAAGGTAAAGTTATGCCATTTACAAAAAGTACCTTGATTCATTTTTTAAAAATTACATCACCCAAATGACGGCCATTTGAATTGACACACATATTGAGTCTTTCTCGAAAACTGGTTTCCACTTTTATCAATAACTGTTCATTGATTAGTTCAATTTGGTACCGAATTGCATTCTTCAATTCTTCTTGAGTTCGTGGCTTTTCTTTGTAAACATTTGCCTTCAGGTGACCCCAAAGAAAAAAGTCGCACATTGATAAGTCCGGTGAACGTGGTGGCCACGCAACATCACCGAACCGTGAGATTAGTCGCCCTGGGAACAATGCTCGAACTGCTGCCATAGAGGCTCGGGCCGTATGCGCAGTAGCCCCGTCCTGCTGAAACCATACATGATCGGGGTCGATTCCTTGTCTTTCAAGTTCCGGAATGAAAAAGTTTGTCATCATATTGACATATCGTTCAGAAGTTATAGTCACAGTTCTTTCGTTTTCTTCAAAGAAAAATGGTCCGAAAATTCCAAATTTCCCTACAGCACACCAAACGGTGACTTTTTGACTGTGCAATGGTCTCTGATGTAGCTCACGAGGGTTTTCCAAGGCCCAATAACGGCAGTTCTGTTTATTAACAGTCCCATCCAAATGGAAGTGGGCTTCATCACTCATTAAAATTTTTATGTCGTCATTCTCTTCAAACATGTTTAACATTGTTTCAGCAAACATAACGCGTTGTTGATAATCAGCATCGTTTAACTTCTGTACAATCATAATTTTATATGGATGAAACCCTAAATCCTTGTGTAATATCCGTTTCACTGTGCTCTTACTCAGCCCAAGTTCCGTTGCGTGACGCCTTGCGGAACGGCCAGGACTGCGCTGAATCGCATCTCTCACTCTATCCACGTTTTGTGGAGTACGTGCAGTGCGAGAAGGGCCGGGTGGCTTTGTTTTCATTACGGATCCTTTAGATCTAAATGCATTCACCCACCTTAAAATTGTATTCCGACTTGGGACTTCACCATGACGACCAATACGAAAATGACGCCTAAAACACCGTTGAGTTTCGATAACAGACTCACCACTTTTAACAAAGGTATCGTATACAAACACGCGATGATCTTTCGTCCACAGCGGCATGATGGCAACTAAATGGCGCGGAGTAGGGAGTCGAATGACCTTCACCGCGAGTCTCCCCCTCCACCAGTCGCCGAGTACCGCGCGATTCAAATACGTCCGTTTCCCGTGGACCACCCTTTACCTACATACATTTTTAAGAATAAATTGTATGGTACTATTTTTATTAGTTTCAAATACAGTAGATAGTATTTAAAATAACATGAAAAGATGGAAATATTATAAATATCGATATCATACATTATGATGGGCTACAAAGGATATGAAACACCACCTTATCAACTAGAGGAAATTACAAATCCTCTGACAAAAAGGTTAAATCATCTATATCTATGGTGACTTACTGTGTACTGTAGTCATCAATTAGGAAAAAAAATAGTTTTAGGCTTGCATAAAAAAATACTAGTGGTCGAAAACTCAACCAAAAATATGTAATGTGCACTTGACTATAGGAGACTGAAGTAGACATTCCT